CTGGACTTTGTTACGACTTTGACATCTACCAGGCATGCAGCAAGGGAGCCTACGGAGACCAAGAAGGATATCAGTTAGGCCTTGGTGCGGGAGTGGTGCTTCAGTTGTGTTCAAGTCTCCCTGAACGGGACAACAATCTCATCGTTGCTGACAACTTTTTCACGGGACCACACTTAGTTTGCGAGCTAACGCGGAGGGGTATCTCGTACATTGGAACTGTGAGAGAGAACAGACTGCAGTCGTGCAAACTAATGGATGAGAAGGCAATGAAGATGCAAGGTCGTGGCACGTGTGATTCATGTGTCGCATCATGTGGTGACAGAAGCATGATAGCTGTAAAGTGGTTCGACAACAGACCGGTCACACTTCTTTCTAACTGCACTGGTGTGGAACCGGTCACCTCTGTAGAGAGATGGGACAAGAAAGAGAAGTCTCGCATCTCAGTTGAATGTCCAGCAATTGTACCCGAGTACAACAGATCGATGGGTGGTGTTGACCTACTAGACAAGATGTGCTACAGCTACAGGTTTTCCATACGCTCGAAGCGGTGGTACATGTACATATTTTGGCACACCGTCAAAATTGCTGCTGTGAATGCGTGGTTTCTGCACAAGCGTCACTCACTGCAGCAAAGGGAATCTTCCAAGCCTCTGCGAGAATTTCTTGCGGACCTTGCCACGAGCTTGGTTTTGTACAGGAAGCGTCCGCCTGGCCGCCTTTCTCGAGAGAATCTTCCCTTGGTGAAGCGGGCGTCACCACAAGTTCCACGCGACGTAAGAGGCGATGGTAGCCATCATTGGCCCATTTGGATGGACCGCCGCAACAGATGCAAGTTGTGCACAGGAGGCTACAGCTACGTCGCTTGCTCAAAGTGCAATGTTCACTTGTGCATAAACAAAGACCGGAATTGTTTCGTCGATTTCCATCGGGGTTAGGTAACTTATCCATGCTAGGAAGCACGTCTTTCTATGTTTTGTTCATCACTGCTGTGCCTTGTTTGATAAAATAAACTTCTTATATATGGCTAATATTTTGAGATATTCACTTACTGCCCAGTGTTGCAGATATGCAACAAGCTATAGTAGACAATTCGTAGCACTTATGAAATTTTTTTTGGCCCCTGTGTCTATATTTATGTTCAGTGACCCTGTATTCAATATATTTTTCAAATACTCTCACTATTTTTTGCACTGGGAAGCAATGGGTTAATACTACAGGGTGTTACAAAAAAATTTACCATTATTTTTTTTTTTTTTTTTACTGCAAAAATAAACTAGGCATTGCCGAGCGCTCATTCTCCGCCCAAAGGTGCTCTAGAGGTTACAACCAGATGCCAAAGTTTCAGCCCGATCCGATACCTCAGGGGTTCTCAAACTGGGTTCCAGGGAACACAGGGGTTCCACTATAGATTCAATCGTGACACCCTTAAATTTAACCCCTTTCCCCACCCTCTCCACCTCGTCTTTCCATGCCGTCATGGTCACCAGACTCTCCAACATTCCGTCGCCAGCGCCCTGATCCCCAAGCAGCCGGGAACGGCAGATCCGAGGAATCATTGTCGCGAGACAGGTGACCCCCAGCCCGCCGTCCCCCACCGTAGCGTATAGGAAGGCAACTGGAACGTCCTGCGGCAGATGCAGAAAGAGCCGGACAGCCGCTCTAATCCTACGGTCAATCTGGCGTAGGTATGTCTTTGACTTGGCACTCATAACCAAGCCATAGATTAGTCTTGGTATTAGGTAGAAGATTAGAATGTTCATCTTCTGCTGAGGTTTAAGGTGGGCCCTTTCTAGCCTTACGATAAGGTCATCGAAATTCACCCCATTATATACCTCCCCTTATGTGTTAATTTCGACCCCCAGATAGCACCATGAACCTGAGCAATCAATCACTCGAAGTGGTTCTCCATTTACTTTGAAAGCCACTGGGCAGATTTTTGCCTTCTTGTTTTTCCCATCTCCTACGAGGCTTAGGGTCGAAGACTTCTTTACGTTTACTGTGAGACCCCTAGTGCTTAAAAATTCCTGGAACTTGTCGAGGAGAAATTGTAGGCCAGCCGCCGTCTCCGCCAGAATCACGAGGTCATCAGCAAAAGCCAACGACGCGCACCGCCCCTCACCCAGTCTCACACCAAAGCCCGGGGGGATGCTGTCGATGAACTCATCGATGACCGCGTTAAACAACAGCGGAGACAATGGGTCACCTTGTCTGACTCCCCAGGGCGCACTGTCCTTTCCACCCCTCTGTGTTGCAAGGTTGTAGTAGAATTTGTGTAGAACCAATGCAGGTAGTCAATCATGGACTACCCCACCATTTGGTGGCGTGCAAGTCCATTCAGTATTGCGGTGTGTGTGGCGCTGTCAAATGCCTTTGACAGGTCTATATTAGCCATGTAAAGGCTTCGCCCCGCGGCATGACTTGTCTCAAGTAGCGTACTCGGAATCATGATGTTCTCAAAGCATCCATCAGTGCTTTTAGATGCACGTTGCTCGTCACGTAGGTGAACAATCTGTCTCAACCTTTTGTCTAGGATCTTGTGAAAGGTGCGCAGGAGCACCGAGCCAATCGAGATCGGCCTATACTCCCCTGGCTGAGAAGCTGCCTCCACTTTAGGGATAAAGATGGTTCGAGCATTCCCCAGCTTCATGGAGGCACGACCCCAGTACAAGAACAAGTTGTAGAACTTCACTACAAAAGTTCTCGGAATTGCCTTAAACTCTTTGACCGTCAGCCTGTCAGGGCCAGGTGCACTGAAGTGCTTTGGCATGTTTTCCTGTACTTCCTGCTCCGTTACTGGCAGTACTGTCACGTCACGTGCATCTAAAAGATCCTCCGAGGGACAGGGCTCCTCCGTGGGCGTCTCGCTCATAACCCGAAACCAGTAGTTAGCGAGTTCGTCTGGAGCCACCTGATCCTCCTTCACAACGTCCAAGACTCGTCGAGCACACACTTTACGGTTCTTGTTGTATAGGTTTTGGACGATGCGGTATTCCTTCTTCCTAGCATTTCTTTTACTTAAGTGCTCCTCCGGGGCAGGTTGACGACCGTTCTCCGCAGGATGCTCGTATCTACTCAAATTCGGTCAAGATCAACTGCAAACGGTTCCCCCCGAAGAGCCGTCCTGATCACCTGGTTCAAGCTCTTTTCCTCCGCCGTGCCTCAGAGTTACAGTCCTCTTCCAGCCACTGCGCAAGCGTCTTTCCCAAGAACAACTCGGAATCTTCAGTTGCGCTACTCGAGCAGGCATCAGCATCTAGGTCCCCCGGGGGCGGGACATATTCTGTCTCCAGAGCAATACCAGTGTTGCTCTCTGCGTCATCCCGTCTCTCTTCTGGTTCGCTTCCCCCGGTCAGCGGGGTCGGCGACTCCCGCTGCTCTCCTCTGGCCTGCCGCCCCTTTCTTCCCTGTTTATTTTTCGGAGATTTCTGTCCCTCTTTCACAAATTTACGGACAAGTGCCTTATACTCTGCTTTTCTGCGCTGTCCCTTTACAGACTGTCGTTCTCCCTTTCCCGCCCCTCCCCTTCCCACAAAACTTCTTGAAAAGGACATTGTTAATACCCAGCGGCTTCACTGCCTGCAGTAGCGCTTCTGCTTCTGCTTTAGCTAGAAAATAAGTTTCCTCCTCCGTCCATCTAGCCTTCACTTTTTCTATCACAATCTCCTCATTCAGATTAACATTGTCACATTTCCTCCTATGGCTCGCAAGTCCCCTCGTCTTAAACACTTTCCCACACTTCGGACACGCCACAGTGTTCATGTCAGGGGCACTCATGTTGACTCAACACTAGGGGTGTCGCGAACTTTTGTCGAACCAGATTTTTTGGTCGAACTTTCGGGGTTCGACTGGGTCGAACCGGTTCGACGAACCTTCGAACTTTTCACGAGATTCGACCGGTTCGACTTTGTGGACAGTGTGGCCAGACCTTGATACAAGCATGTCTAGGTTTGGAGAATTTCTTTTTTTATGCAAAGGGTTATTTTATTGTGTGAACAGCTGCAATTAAAAGAAACCAATTATATTCACTGAAGAACTTAAATTTTAGTACTGTATCGACTGAAATAGCCGATCAGCGCTGCACTTAATTCATCTCTTAGCCATTACCATCCAATCCGAAGCCAACTGGCCAGCCTGTCGCGCATGCGCACACGAGTCGAACCTCAATACAAGGTTCGACGAACTTTCCACTAAAAGTTCGAAAAAGTCGAACCTGGTCGAACTCGAACCGCGGTCGGTTCGCGACACCCCTACTCAACACAAGTTGCAAGAAGTATTTTTGCTAATCCAACCCCTGGTAACCAACGCTGGTCTCATGGGTTCCACAAACACCCAAATTGCAACTTCCTCCCCTCCACCCCCATGCCGCAAGCTGCGCGGCAGGACCATGCAAAGCACCTCCATCTCACTTTGTACCAACATTACGATTGATATGGTGGGGATATATGGGAAGCAACGCAAGCAAAATTGCCTACAATTGTGCATCTGTTGCTTCTCGGTCGGCAAATATGGAGGGGGGTTCCACGGCAGTTTTTGAGGCTTCCTGAGGTTCCGCAAGGCCAAAAAGTTTGAGAACCCCTGCGATACCTTATTCAAAAGTTGCAAGTGATTCTGAGAATTTCAATGGGAAAATGGAGCCTATTTTTGCCCGTTTTCGGTTTCCGGTGCCCATAGAGCCCCATGTATTCGAAAACTCAGTCGGCCGCCATTTTCCCATTGAAATTTTCAGAAAATCACTTATAACTTGATTGAGGCATCGGATCGGGCTGAAACTTTGGCATCTGGTTGTGACCTCTAGCGCTACCTTTGGGCGGAGAATGAGTGTTCGGCAATGCTTAGTTTATTTTTCAATAAAAAACACCCTGTAAATTTTTTTTTTCTGACACCATGTACATTCTTGGGCTTGGATGAGTATGCTGCAGTTATTACTTTCAGAGGTTACTAGGAGCAGGAAGTCCCAAGCCATGGGAAGAGCCTGTTTCCACAAACACAATTACACACAATCAAAGGAAGGAAAATGAAATATTTATTCAATTTACGACAATGGGGACCCTAAAAAAAAAAATCAATAAATATATTCTTTTGTCCCCCTTGCATTGTCGGCCATTTCAAGTCTGAGAGCTTGAAAACTGCTGTGCACACATACACACCAACAAAGAAAGAGGGCCTTTGAAAAAAAATGTACACTCTTCCAAACTGCTTCCAGATCCTCCAGGCAACACTTGATGCACTGTACACAGGAGACGGTCGCCACATGAGACAAAAATGACACGAAGAAGAAAAGCATCTTTGCAAAGGCAAGACATTCCTTTTTTTTTTTTTTTTTATCACTCCTCAATATGTTTTGCTTCGGGTGTTTCCAATCCCACCAACTCCAAGTGACTTGAGGAGGTCTTGGGAAGCACTCCGCAGCACAAACATTCCGAGGTCTTGCTTATTTGCAGATGTGCGCACTCCTCGACCACATTGCAAGAACTTTGCTTGTGCAAGTCGAGCTTGCCTGCAAACCCTTGCCTCCTAATCCCCTGGCTAATATGTTACACATACTTTACAAATGTCCTCCCGCGTCGATAAGCAGCCAAAAAAGCCTCCTAGCTAGTCGGGCGGTCGCAGGCTCTAGCCAAAAGTCGTGCGGCTGGACTTGCCTTTGGTCTAATGCTACGCAGGAAGCATGAGGTTAGGACTTATTATCTAACTCTAATTGGTTCGGTGTGCTACACGACTCGGATATGACGGCTTCGTGCGGCAGAAAGACACTCAAACAACCTTTTTCTCGGCGCTCGTTGCACGTACATCTCGGGGGTCCGCGTGCCAACCGCGCGCTAGAGCAAGGCGACGATATAGAGAAGCAGATGGAACGACACTTGTATAGGCAGGCTTTTAACCTTTTAGATTGTACGTTTTAGACCCGAAAGAAGCGAAGTTAAGAGCACAAGATTGGCACTCGTCGCTAAAGTCTGCGCAGCCGATTCGTCGTGACCGCCGCAGCAGACTCAAAATGTCCAAGCGCTCGGCGATGCAGGAAACGGTTCGTTCTTTCACTGACAACATGCAAGGACATTGCAGATAATGCGAGAGAAAGAAGAAAAAAGAAAAACGAGACACCTAAATTCTTCGCTCCCTCTCGGATTAAGGAGAAGAGTGCGTTACAGAAAGCACAGATGACAGACAGAGACATCAACGGAGAGCAAGAAAACATCTTCTCAGGCCGAGGATTCCCCCCACGGGGGGGGTACGGCATCCGGAACGGGGAAGAAAGGGACGTCCTAAGCTTCGAAGAGGGTAAAGGAGGAGGGGAAATGCAGCAAGGGCGGCAGCCATCGACCAATTCGAAAGGGTCGTTAGTACAGTAATTCCAAACGAAAATAAAAGCAAAAAAGAAAAATGTTTAAAAGCGACGTTAGGCCTCCAAGACAAACTGGAAAAACAACAAAGAAACAAGAACACAACCCTAGACGTTTTTGCGGTCACGCAAGTTGCACACCCGAGTCACTTCCGGAAGTCTTCGTCACCGTAGCCGCAGCCGGGGCCTGTGCCGGGGCAGGGCAGGCCGGCCGTTTGCGAGAACCAAGCCAAACAAAATGACGTAGGAGGGGGACGGGGGTGGTGGTGGGAACTAGCACAACACCCAGTCCCGTCCAGGACACCCAGGGGTGAGGGGACAAGCAGATGAGTGGGGGAAAGTCTCATTCTCCCCCTCTCGCACCTCCTCTTGCCGTTTCAAACTTCGGCACAGGCGGGGAAACGTGGCCGGAGCTGGGCCCGGTGCCTCGGCGAGGCTTGCAAGACGAGGAGGTTGCTGCGCATACGACGCAGTGATGGCCCCTTCGCTGACAGCAGTCTGCAAACGAGAGGAGTCTTGACGCCACAGTTTGCCGGCGAGCGAGTCGCAAAATGCTTGCGCTTCGAGGAATAGACCGATTTCACCCGTAGTAGCAAACAATGTGCGAGTGGCAGGGAGAAGCTTCAGTGATTCTGCCTCTAGAGAGAGAAATAATGTTTATTTGACAAAACACCGCTTCTGGGGCCCTAACCTACGCGCTCTTACTGAGTGGGAACCGAGACCGGGACACCGCCGCTTGCTGCGATTGGCCGGCTTTGCACTGCCGACAAATCGCAGCGGGCAGCAACGTCCCGGTCCCGCCGCGTAGATTGGGGCCCCCGGTGTCTTAGGCACGAGCTTCCCACCTTCGACAATGCTTCGGCACCTCGTGCACCTTGAGTGCGCGAGTTCGGCCAGAGTGCTGCAGAAGGCACGAAGCGCACACTCAATTCCGGACATTCGAAAGACCCGCCCTGCCGCTCTCGCTCTGCGACTGTGGTGTTCGGCGCGCACACGTGACACCGCCGTTAACTCAAGCCCATGGGAGGCAGGCGGCAGTGCGCGAGTCTCGTGCTCCGCATCCGCGGAGCAGCAGCGAGGTTGTCACATGTGAGGAAAGACCCAAAGACCAAAGGCTGGTTTGCACATTTGTGCATGTGATTGCATTTGTAACAGCTTCTACGAGGAATGTTTCTCTCAACATTGTCAGAATGCTTTCGAGCACGTATCGAAAGAATGATGTATAGAACGTACGCAGACCGGGGGTGCTCCTCGACTGTCCGATTGACAGTGCATTTTCTCGTCATCAGTGGTTACAAGCGGTTACGGGGCAGGTGATCACACTAAAGCGCAGATGTGTGAACCACCGGGGTTAAAGCTCCCTCGAAGCATCCCGGCAGCAACGGCATAGTTAAACTGGCTGGTGAGATTGGCTTATTGTCACTGTCTGTGCTCTGCCCCCCCCCCCCCCCCCTCCCCCCCCCCCTCCCCCCCCCCCTGTCAGCGTCTGCACAGAAGAATGCTTTGCAATGGTAGGCACTTTGTTACGGGCAGGGGGGGGGGCATGGGTCTTCGTTTTGAAAGCTACAGCCATTTTTATTGTGCTCTGCCAAGTTTCTAATTTTATTAATCAATATTTCAGTCATAACATTGATCTATAAGGTGCTTTCTCAAAACAAATTTTTAATGATTGGCGAATTTGCAGGAGGGATTCTGTAAAACCCTTTATTTTCGCAAACCCTATTTTTCAAGAATCTGCCACAGAAGACATAATCGCGGCCGCTAAACTTTGCGAATTTCAAATGCCTTATTAAAAAATTCCCAAAAAGAACAATTTTTTTTTAAATGGTCTGGTATTTTTAAATGATCTGGTCTCGACAAATTAATTTTATGCGAAAACAAACTTTTTAAGAGCAATATTGACGGCGCAAGACGTGCTTTAGTTGGTAGTCACCTCCTTTCCACTTGTTTTCTCTCTCGGCATTTCAGGCGCATGAAGGAGAGGTAGATCGACTTGGCCATCACGTTGAGGTGGAAACAGTGTAAGACCATCTCGTTCAGGTGGAAGAGTATGACCATTCCATGACGTCATGGACTTTGCGCGCAGAATTTAAAATAAATCTTGCACAGTCAATATTGTTCTTAAAAAAGACAACTTTTTCGCGCAAGTTAATTTTTAGTTATGTGTGTCCCAACTAGACTGTTTAAAAAAAAAATATTTTATTTTCAGGGGCTTTTTTAAGGATTGAAATTTTCAGTGTTTTTCAATTAGCAAAAATAAAGGGTTTGCAAACATTAAGGATTTTACAGTATCTCTGTATCTAGAACGGGTAAAAACATGACTATTTTTTTGCAAAATGTGGCTAAATGTGCTAAGCATACAATGTTCACAGCAGATTCTTCAATATAGGTCTAAGAAATCTTTTATCTGATCAATTGTTTTATTATTTGGTAGCCACACATTCAACACTGAACTTTGATGAGTGGTAGAATCATTAAAATGGTTCAATATCAAAAGTACTTTCAACATTGCATACTTTATAATTTGTAGTACTCGTGTAGTCATGTGTGAAACATGATTTCTTGTTGAGAAGGTTTTTCCCTATTGTCTTTTAAAACGAAGGTGGGCAAGTAATTTTTTTTACGACTAATCTATTGACTGAGAAAGTTATTGGATATCTGAAATGAGCACGAAAACTGAACCAGCATGCAGTTTGGTAGGGCTTGGTCTAAAAACAGGAAGAAAAGCTCCAAGACCAGTGTTTTCTCTTAGAGAACACATGCAAAGGAAAAATGTATATATTTTTTTTTAAACAGCATGGTTGGGAAAAGGATGTCATAAAATGAATTTACAACGAAAAACAAAAAAGTTTATAGCTATATTTACGGCAATGAACAAACTTGTAGTTGGCGCCCCCGGGCGCCGCGAAAAACGGGCCAAAATTTGTCACGTGGTACTTGCGCTCTTTCTGAAGCTTCCTATGGTCTCTTAAACTTATTCATCTTCGTTTCAAGTGCAACAAAAAACAAAGATTAATAAGTAACTTTAAGAGCCCAAAGAAAGCTTCTGAAAAAGCGCAAGCAGACGTGATAGACCTGTGCGCCCGTCAGACAACGGCGGTGGCGCCCCGGAGCAGACGAACGTGCGCGGCGGCGTGGAGAAACGCGTTGAAACGGCGGCACGCCACACTCAGCGTTCGGTAGCAGCGTGGCTTCGAGGCAGCAGCGCGCCGCACAACGGCACACAGGTCTACCACGTGACCCGTGGCGGCTCCCGCGGGTGCCAATTACAAATTTGTTTTGCACCGTAAATATAGCTCTAAAAATTTTTTTTATTCCTTGTAAATTCGTTTTATAACATTCTTTTTTTATGTAGGCTGTTTAAAAAAAAGTGTTTCCTTTGCATGTGTCCTTTAAGGAGACCACGATATAATCCCACACAAAAAGTAGGAAGACAGAATGTGCAGGACGTTTCCTTATGAGCTTTGGAGACACGCTGCACATTATCCGGAGGATTAATACATTCAAATTTATTCTGGTGCCAAGGGGATATCTTGCTTATGTTTGTCTCACTGGAGCCATGTCAACACGAAAAGCGCGGCTGCCTGCAGTCACGCTTCTATATAGGAGTCACGTCGCTCGATGCAATCATGTGATCATGTGATGAGGTCGTGCGATTGCACTATGAGATCATATGACCATCTACGTACTCGGATTACTGGTACGTGTAAGCTGTAACTGCTCTTCAAGTCTAGCAGGTACAGGGATAGCGCATTGAGCTGCAAATCGAGAGGGCGCAGGTTCGACTTCACTGGCGGGGCGTGTAGATTTCTCTCCTTATAATTAATTAATGATAATTAATTTATGTTGCTACGGTAACCATGCAAGCTTTTCATAACACTCTTTCTGCTCCTCGTTGCAAGACTAGGGGACTTGTTTTAAGCATGAGCAAACTAGGTTGTGGTATCTTCGTGTTTACGAACTGTAAAAACAAAAAAATTCATTGCGAGTGGGTGCTCGTCTCTCGTACATATCTTCTGTCCTTGCCATAGACAAAATCCCACCCCAACGACAAGTGCGCCCTCACCTGGAAGGTGGGCGTGGTGCTCACGACTGCTGTGCCGGCCTGGTGGGGCACCTGGACCGGAACAGGTTGGTCTCCTCAAAGACCAGCTCCTTGAGTCGCTCCTTGGGCAGGTCGTCCAGCTCTGTCTCAAACTTGAACGGCTCTTCCGCCATCGGCTGCAGGGCGCACAAACAATGCAGCTCATCAGATGCCGTGCCTCGTCTGCAAGACCCTTTACAGTGAAATACCACTTGAACTGAACAAACTCCAAAGAACTTCAAAACAGTTTGCTTAGAAAAACACTAAACCTAGGGGGAAAAGAATGTTTTTCCACCTAGTTAGGACAGGAATGTCCCAAAATAAATGTTTGCTGAAAAAAAAAAAATTTTTTTTTCTTAATATTTATGGTACATTACTAATTTCTTCTATTTGAGGGTGAAACCAAAATAAGAGGGTTTTAAAATAATGTACGCAATTTTAGCACAGGCTAGCGCTAAATTTAGCACTTGCGTTAGCACACAATATGAAAGAGTTTTAGAATAGCACTTCTCCACCGCGACGAAAAACCCCAAGCATCTTGCTTTAGCAACGCTACCAAGATAACATAGCAATTTTTGTTTTCACGTGTGAAATGCTGTAGCTCAAGAAAAAAGAGGCTTTTTGGTCCAGAGTAACATTTTAGATTTGTTTAAATCGGTGGTCGACTGGTCGTGTCCGCTTGCGTCGCCTCGGCAAGAGAGGTTCCGTGCACAGACCTTTGCACACCGTACCTTCGCCAAGAAATGTTTAAACGTCGCAAGCAGCCAGTGATCGCTGCCCACCTTGCTAGGTCCTCCAAACCGTTTACAGAGTGTACCTCCCGTAGGAGTGAAGTGTCGTCCTCTATTGAAAATTGCTGTTGCGAGGATGCCACCGATGTTGCGGTCACAACAATCGCCCAAGTGGGGGCAGCCACCGCAGCCCGCAGTCGCGGCCCTGGGAGCCGCCATTTTCAAAACTTGCTCGTCTTAGTTTATGCCAATTTCTCGTTCGTCACAAATTTTCCTTGGAGGAGCACAAAGAAGCTTTGCGTATGCACTCAATTTCCAAAAATCGCATACCCTAGAAAATAGCGCAAGCAAAAAAGAATAACATGGTTAGCATTCAGCGCATGCGCAGTGGCGACGGCGCTATTCTTTGCACACGCAAAGCTTCAGCGTGTGGTATTCTTAAGCTGCCTACTGTACCTTTGCGGGATGATGATGATGATAGCGTTTGTACCCATTTAATGTGTGCTCCAAATTCGCTGGATCTCAGAGTGCACACTATTAGGGTACAGACGCTGTCACCATCATCCCACAGGGGTACAGTTTCGGTTTTGCTCACAAAGAGAAAAATTTGTATTGTAATATAAATATTAGGCAAAAATATTTTTTTTTAGAGAAACATTTGCTTTTGAAACTTGCATGTCCTTACTGAGTAGAAAAAGAAATGACTTTTTTCTAGGTCAGTGCTTTTCCAGGTTCAGTGTCTTAGAACTCTCAAAAATAAAATATGAGATAACTACCGTAAAGTTCCGAAAAAATGTCAACCGAAAATGAAGAGAAATGGTGAAAAACATGGGGTGGGATATCCTTGGGGATCCCACAGCAAAACTTTATCAAAATTTAATGATAGACACCGGGGCACCCGCTACAAACCACATACTCCAGATTGTGGACACCGCAAATTCGCATTTCATGATGTAATAAACGCACGGGAATTTGCTACAAACTCCTGTGTCACGGGAGAGGATACCGCAGGTTCCAAACGCAGCAGATTCGCGTTTTACCAGACGAAGGACCCGCAGAAACCCGCCGAGAACTCGCATCTCACAAACAAATAACGCCATTCGCAGACGTAGCAGATTCAAGTTTTATAGTGCATCAAACATGCGGGAACCCGCCACAAACTTGGCTGTCACAGGAATAAATATCGCAGACGCAACAGAATCATATTTCACAACGCAATATACACGCGAGACGAACTCGCGTGTTACGGGAATCAATGTCGCGTGCGCAGGTCGCAGACAAAAACTCAGGAATCCACTAGAAACTCCACGTCCCTGGAACGGATACAGCAGATCGCGGACGCTGCAGATTCACGTTTCACGATGCAATATACACGTATACACACGGGAACAACTCGCGTGCTACGGGAGCCAATATCGCCCGTGCAGATTGCGGACAAAAATGAGGAAACCCGTTATGAACTCTCTTATCAGACATACCGGTACAGCAGATCGTGCGGCAGATGCAATTCCCTTCGGATATTGCATGACGTCCGACGGGAATCGGGGGGGGTGGGCGATGTTTCGGAAGTTTTATGTTACAGACAGTACCGTATTTGCACGAATATAACGTGAGTTTTTTTTTCGAAATTACCTGCTCCAAAACGCACCTCGCGTTATATTCGGAATCAAGTTCAGCCACGAGACGCGGAGTCTGGAGAAAGCAAGAAGAGAAAGCCATCCCTCCGGCTCAATGCAAAATATCCCGTGGGAAAAGAAGTAAGGGGTGTGGAAGGAAATTTATTAGCTATTGGGCCACGTGAAGGGGCGAATAGAAAACATAAAACAAGCATTTTCATCGCTTTTGTGTTTGTACAACGCGCGCACGCCGCAGAAACTCAGCCCGCGCGCCATGCGGGAATGCGGGCACTGGCCAATTCAAGCCAAGCCAAGCCAAGCCGGGCCAAGCCAAGTCAAGTCAACACAAGCCAAGTCAAGACCACCAACCGCGTTTACGCAATCGTGCAACACGAGGCATTTGTTTATGCAGAGGGACCAGAACAAAAAGTGTAATCGTGTATCGAATTCAGCAGTCTTTTTTTCTGCCTGCCATTGTTTAGTTTCTGCTCCAGAGTGATCTGGTGTTTGTGTGTTGGTGCTTCTGCTTCGTGCCTTGTTTGGATGGTGGGCTGCCGAGGAGCTTGCAGGGAAGAAAAAGAAACTACCAGACAAGCAGGTGCCGTGCTGCTGCTTATCTGCGTAGTGGCCAAGTGGATTGTAAACGGAAGGACCTGAACAGTGAGGATGAGTGTAGCCAAAACATAAACTGATATTTCTTCTATTTCCATTGACTTTTCACATCTGCTATGCCCCCGAGTGCGAGAAATTGACGCAGCCTCGGTTCGCGTTATAATAGTAATAATTTTTTTTTTTTTTTTTCTTTTTGAGGGCATCAAAACCTGCCCTCGCGTTATATTCATGCAAATACGGTATTAAGCCAGAAAAACGGGACAGGCATCTCTCGGGAGCGGGCATTCTCTCAGAACTTAACGGTATACTATTGGACCCATTATGTGTTTGTCTATTTTGACTAAATTTTTTTCATAAATGGTGCGATAGTTTCGTGGACAAATGATTTAATTCCCAAGACCCTTGGATCTACCCCATTCGGAAAGGCCACCACGTTTGGTGGGTCGGTGACATACTTCGCCCCATGTGCCTGGCGGGGCAATGTCCCCTTGCACGCGCTCACAGACTTGACTCTCTCGACGTCTCGCTCATTAGCTTCCTCATTTACCTTCCATGTTTCAAGACAACAACACCTACAGCATCAATCACTTTGTGCGAGTATTTGACACTAATTGTGGCAGCAACAATAGTAATTGTCATGAACAGATGTTGGAAGATGGTCATTTTGACTTCACCTCACTTGGAGACAAGCTCCAGCGGCAATGACGAAATCGTCAAAGTGAACTCGCCGTCGTCCGCGACAATTTTACACTCACGTGAAATGGTCCGCACACAAAACCATCGCGCCCACAGGGGCCCAGCCATTGCCTGCGACATTACGTTCCCATGCCTCCAGTCTCGTAAGATCCTTCGGAACCGGAACAATGAAACCGTTGGCCTTTGTTCCCACACATTCCGACATCTTGCCGCATAACAGACTTTGCACGACATCTGAAACATCTTTTGCGCTGGGAGCTACGCAAGCGTCCTTTTGACACCCAACGCGGGTGATCGGAGACGAAACTGCCGAGCCGAGGTCAATGGACGTCGACTTGCCATTCCTTGCACGCCGAGCGGAAGGTCAACGGGCAAGGGGACGAGAGGGCGAATAGTGTTGGAGTAGCTGAGTAGCGCAACAGGGTGCCGTTGTAGCGTGGCGAGCTGGCAAGCAACGGAGCGCCCAGACCGAGAGTGTGTTCAACTACACATCATGATCACGTAGTTTGGCAGTGTTGCCTTGTCGCCAGATGAAGAAAATCGACGTTCGTAAATTGATGTCGCTGTACATACTAAGTAGCTTATGAGCATCCAAAGGTAATCTATTCATTGAATACTCCTGTCTGAACCCCTTTAACCCTTTGAGGATCATTGCAGGAGGCAGTGATATTCGTTTTGTCTTTGGCGAACTATAAATCTTATTACAGTATAGACCACTTACAACGTAACCGCTTATAGTGCAGGACCGGGTATAATGCGGTTTTTTTAAACCACCGGTTCGCCTCCCATAGAACTCCATGTAATTACATACCGCTTAAAATGCAGGCGCGCGAAGGGAAATACCGGTTATAGTGCGGTTTCTGGCACAGCCCGCCGACCGCGCCGACGACCGGAGCAGCGAGCACGCTTCCCTGTGCGACACGAGATAACCGGCGTGAGCCGCAAACGGCACTCGCGGGGCAAGGAGGTTGCTCGGAGAAGCGAAGAGAGAGGCTTCATTTGCCATAGCGACGGAAGGACGCACGCACGTGTCGTTCATGTGCGTGCGTCCCTCCGCTGCGTTGGAAACGAACAAACGAACAACCGAAACGACAGACCAATCGCAGGTCGAGAAGTGTTCGCGCGCATTGCATGCGTTGCATGCACTCCTTGGTTGCATGCCAATCGCGGGCCGGCGGCTTCTGTCCGCAAACATGGCGTCGGTTGTGGCGTTCATCTCATCGTTCCGCCTAAAAACGCTATCCTTGACAGTGAATTTTCGTTGTGTGTCGCTATGATAACCCAGCACGTACTAGAAGGGAAGATCCACACCTACTCGTGCGGCGATGTGGCGGCGCTCTCAAGACGGCAGAAACGCCCGTGTCGTCGTGTTTGTTTACTTCGGCTAAAGTGGTGCTTTCTAAGCATTTGTGTTTTCGAACATCGCCCGGATTTCTTATTTGGAGCATTTCATGCCTGTGCTCAAGCTCAAGGTATTTTTCTGGCGCGTACCGTATGAAGGATGCGAATTTTCACGCGTTTTCATCTCCGAAGAAAAGTGATTAGGGTTAGCAATCCTGAACGCTCGCAACGTCCGTCCGCAACCCGCGACGCCGTTAAAAGGCTGCGCTGGCTGCGCCAGGCAAAGGCCGCTTATTTCTTTCAAAATGTGTGACACACTTGAGAGAGATGTGTACTAGTCTGGTGAAATAAAGACTTTTATCAAACTAAGCTTTATTTTTCATCTAACATAAAATAAATTCTTTTACAAAGGTAGGTTTCGTCTCGTGGCATGTATTTTGGCCTGAAAAATTGATGTTTTGGTTATAACGCGGTACCGGTTATAGTGCGGATTTTCGCGACTCCCGCGACATACGTTATATGCGGTCTACACTGTACAACATTGTGCATCGCTTTTCTGGGGCTATTTAAAGTTTTGAAAGGAGACTCTCTAGACACGTTACACGCACTAAATGGTCTCTACGCATGTTGGCTGCTGTAAAGGTGATGGCGATTGGAGTGCCGGCTCTTTTGATTCTGACTTTTAACACTTCCTCAAAATTGAATTCAGAGGATGAGATCTTACTAACTGATGGAGCGGCTCTGTAAAGTACCTCCGGATGGAAGCCTGAAACTGGCAGACTCTAGCGGAAGTGGACGCACTAAAATGAAACCGAACGGGAGAAGGTGACAACTTTTAGCCTTCAATATTTTCGTTTCATGCTTCTGAATCTGAACCGGGCGCAAGCACAGTCTGTGCTTCCGCTCGATCATTTAGATACACAATTTCTGCATCGACCTTTTCTTTACATTATTCCTCTGTAAACAAAACCCGACCACCAGGAAACATCTTCTGGCGAAAAAAACCTCAACCATTAAAAGGTTAAGAGAAATTTCATTCAGCTGGATGCATGAAGCACAATGGGGTTTTGCTGGGGAATTTTACAAAAGTTTCTTCAAATGGAGTTAGCCCAAGCGCTATTTCATCGTATCTGGGACTGGGGATCGAGACAACCTTAAACTGTTTCCCTGTAAATGCTACGATCAACAATAGGGCACAAACAGCGTCCACAACTTTGGTTTGCTGTCGTATCCACGCCTGGCTGTCAATTTTATCGTCTTTTAACTCTGGACGTGTTTTATGCAAAGTTTCCTATCAACAAATTGTCATGAACGAGCATCATAACGAACGTCTTGAAGGAGAGACACGCTCAGTTCGAGCCCTCCCCCTGGCAAGGCTTGAACCTGGGAAGGTGCAATGGCGGTCAGATGCTATTAGCCACTGAGCTACTAGCACAGCTGGTGTGGAAATGGTTAATGTTTTTATTTTAATGAAAGTGCCGGCGACAGTGGCTGGTTTTGGCTGAAGATAATAAATAAATCATCAAATAAATAAAAAATACAAAAAAATGAAAAAACAAATTGATACTAAAAAAAAATGGAAAAATCTTGCACATATGGCACGAAGTGCGGTTTGTGCAGGACAGATTCTGTGCTCCCTGGTCTTTGTCAGCATGATCGCGCCTGCATGTTTTACGTGCAACGATTGAACACCACTCATAACGCGATAGCGTTAAACAGCTCGTGTCACAGAAAATGGGCTGCATGGCAGAAAAGCCGGCGTCGGTGGTGTGCAGCAAAAATCCTGATTGGTTGATAGGGTCATCACGTCACAGCCACATACCCCGTGCGGGAATTTCAAACAAGCCACAACACTCGCGTGAAACGTTACGTCACGCGTCTTATTGAAGCGATTGAAAAACATGGCATGTAATTAGGGGCTCAGGAACCGGGGGGGCAGGGAGGGCGTCCGCCCCCGATGTTTTTTTCGTAGGGGTCATGCCCCCCCCCCCGACGCTGAAGGCTGACCCACAACCCTCCCATAATGTAGTCAAAGCAACATGCTACTGCGCCTTCCAAGCTTGAAGCGGAATAAGAAAGCGTTTTGTCGGGATCAGAATTGGTAGTAAAGCTGATACCCCTGTTAAGTGCTGGAGTAAACGTTTCTTGTGAGCCAGCCTTGAGGCGCGCGTATTGGTCACATCTTAATCACTGGCAGCGGGACGGGGACAGCTTAGGAAAGGCACCTTTCTACCATTCCTTGTCATCGGAAAGGATGGCGGGGAGGAGGCCTCCCTCCGGCTCTGGATAAGCCTCCCCAAACGTAAAACCTCTTGCCGCGGGAAATTGGTCTCTGGCAGAGCGCTTTGACGAACAGCAGTCCGGAGCATATGTCCATGGAGGGACTGCACACTCTCTTTGACGAGTTTTGCTTGGGATCGGCTCTTTCAAGCTCGGCCATGCCAATACCGTGCCAATTAAGCGCACTGATCCCATAATGGCCGGAGAGGGTTCAGAGCTGGCCTAGCGTGGGAGGTGCCCCTTGAAGTTTCTGCAAGACGCCTAGACGCGAAAAGCATTTCTGCCATCCGTCAATCATTTTCGTACTTTTGTTCGGTGTGACAGGAGAGGCCACGGAAACACTCTTGCGTGCTAGAGATTTTGAATATCTCTTTTTGTTACTCAGAAAAGATTTCGGCTAAACAAAGGTCGCTTCCTGCATTTCGGTTTTTCCGCGCTTACGATCGTAAAAGTTGGGGGGGGGGGGGGAATCTGCACTGCAAGGATGTGAGCCTTGACCTCCGCCCCCCCGATCAGAATTGACTTCCGGAGCCCCTGCATGTAATACAAATTAAAGGTCGCCGCACGTTTAAAATGACTTCACTCTATAAAATAATTCATTTGCCTTATAAAAATTTTAGGCAGAATCCAAACCCAAGACCCTTTGGTTGCAAGCCAGATACGCATACTGACTAGACCACGCAAGGCATGCTTGCACAGCTTGGGAAGGAGCGGGAGCTGGTATGTTCAAATGTTTCGCTATCGCGTTCCACTCTTAAAGGCAAAACTTGAGCGTCCTCCGAAATTTTTTATTTGACGTCTCACTAGTGCAAATGAGTGCTTCGTCATCGACCATTTTATACTCAGTTTCGCTCGATGACGAACCGCAGAATCGCCACGAGCCGTCGAAGCCAATCCAATGCCACATGAGTATGCCCCGCAACTTTCGGGAGGCGCGAAGTCTCACGATACCTTCCCAGCATTGGATTGGTTGAGATATGGTTCCTAGCGTCCGCTCCAGTCCACCAGTACAGAAGCATCAGCCGTAATCACCCGATTCGAATGTGCACCTTCTCTCGAGAAGAATAGACCTTAAAAGGCTGCTAGCAACTTAGAATCGAAGAGGAGACCGAAGTGAAACCAGAATCATGCGAGCAACAGCAGCAACATCCCCGTAGTCATTGCCAGCACAAGACGACGGCTTAGCCCTTACGCGTCGCAACCTCCCCCCTTCTGACCAGTTCTGCCGTGCGCTTAGTCGTCAGTCACCGAACTCATCACCTGTGCATCGAGCGCGATGGACAGTATTGAGACACATGCTGTAGTGCGCGGAGAGCAACAAAGAAGTGTCCGAGAGCAACAACGAAACGAGACACTTAGAGGTGAATAAACTGCTCACAGCAAGGTGGTAAATTCGGTCGGTTGGTGATCGTTGAACATCATGAAAAAAAGGCGCTCAAAGGGACAGGACAAAAGGACAAAACTTTTGTCCTGTCCCTTTGAGCACCATTTTTCATGATTCTTCGCTCGTTCCTCGTGCACAAAAATTGTTCTTTTTTTCTCTCGAGTATGAAAACTTGCTGCACGTTAGAACAATCACTCTTAGGTATGTAAAACTAGCTTCATGTTAGGATCGGGTAATTACGCTAGTTCCCGTTGTTATAACCGTGTTGGCTATGCTGGCCAAAAGACGAAACAGGATTCGCAGCAGGGCTTATACCTCGTCCCCGGGGTCGTAATACTGCTCCAGGTAAGGATGGGCGAGGGCTTCTTCCACATTGATTCTTCGGTGGGGATTGAACGTCAGCATCTTGTCCAAGAGGTCCAGCGCTGCGCCAGGCCATGCAGAGAAAACAAAAACAATGTGAGGGCCAGAGGCAGCTGAATCTGGAGCTGGCCTGCCAAAATAACCAAAGATCCACTTCAGCCATCCAAGCTTTCCAACCCCTAGCAAACTTGCGTTTTTAAATGCCCAGACTTTTCCAGGTTTTCCCCGACTATTTTATCAAAATGCTCCAAACGCATCGTGAAGCCATTTGGCGAAGGTGCTTTACACAGAAACAGTCTATACAGGGTAGTAGAGATAAATCCGGACTTTTTCTTCTCTTAACAATACAGTGAAGCTAACCGGCCGTATTGTGCTTCTGCGGCTATGCGATTCAAATGCGGGCCATAGCATAATAAACAATTCACGACTTGCTCAGAAATTAGCACGGAAAACTACCGAAGGGCAGCAGTACTTGAATCGCTTCACGCTGGAAAGTCGCTTAAGCAAATCACTGCGTGGCATGGCTACAAGAAGACGCAAGTTTACAGCATTGCCAGGACGTTCAGACAATCTGTCAGCCAGGAAGACGTTACAAAAAACCGAGCAAAGCACACAAAATAGTCATTCATTTTATCTTTGCCTCTGTTTTCTTGAATATGGGAAATTTTCCAGATTTATCTTGACGACCCAGTAGTGTCTTCAGATACGAGTCTTACGCTGTAGCTCAGAGAAAGGAAAGGTCAATTGTCATGACCGATATTGATTGGGGTGGACGTTTTGTTCCCTCCCTCATCCTCCTCCTCAACCTTTCCAGACGTGCCGAATTCCCTGACCATCACAGTTTTTCTGATTTTTCAGGTTGGCAGACACCCTGATAGTGCTACTATAAAGTTAGCATTTGGCAACAAGGACAATAAACAGACTTGGACACATGAGGGTCATGCCACGACAAGTCAAGAATTAAAGGAGCAATGCAACAATTTTTGTACTTTGCGCAAATACCGCTTAAAACGGATCCCCAACGTTAATGACCTATGAAACACGCGTTTGCTTTTCAACCCAAGCAATAGAAGTCCCAGAAAAAAATTAAAGAAAAACGAGCAGCGTTCAGCCCCTCAACTCGCAGCCAGAACAAGCGGCCACGTGATCTGGAGCCGATTATATGCCGCCAGTGTTAATCATAGCCACGCGCTGGGGTTGGCAAAGCGCAGGACACGCGCTGAGTTACAGACATTGTTATGGCTCGGCTGTTGTCGTCGTTGCAGCGATTGGACACGGGTCACTACCCAAATGCTTCTCGAGCTAGCAATTATCACGAGCCCAAGTCGAGTGCCCACGCAATGCTCGGGTCCAATCTATGAACCGCATTCAAATATCGTCACTTGGGTCTACTGTGATCCCCACATTATGTCATCGAATTTTGCAAAGGAGAGATTGAATGAAAATGTTCGCTTTTGTCCTTGAAATTACACCGCAACAAAGGAGTTTCTTGGCCAGTGGCGTTTCGTGTGAGTATCCTTGAGTCCCAGGTGTGCCAGTAAGCTCGTGTCAAGTGAAAAACATTCCAATTGAATATCGTTGCACAGCTCCTTTAATGGGTTTTAAAGCAAAATTAATCAGAGACGTCAGAATATTCTTGAAGACCCATAATGCCAAAAGGAAGTGCTGTTGTACAGAGTGTTGAACCGAAATTTTCATCGGTTCAGTTCTGGTTCAGGTTCACGGCTTTCAGTTCGGTTCCGGTTCAGTTCCAAGGAGCAAAAAATAATGGTTCAAACCGGTTTGAACTGCTAAATTAAGAATATATTTTCCGCATTGTTCTGGCAATAGACACTATTTACGCCGTAAAACGATTAACTATATTATTTCTTTTATCGTCCGTGCAGTTCACTTTTGTTTTCAGGTACCAAAAATATAAAATTCAGTTATTTAATTTCGATGCAACAGTAGGAGAAAATCTACATTAACATACATAACGTCGTGTTCATATGACTCAACATCCCTTTGTTTACCAGTAACATATATTTTACCCGAATCAAAATGTGTAACTGCAACAGTAAAGAGTACAGCTTGTTGGTACATACCTGCAAATAGATCATCTTGAAATTTAGAACTATACCGTCTTTTCCTGTCCTTTCTTCGTGTTTAAGTGAAATTCTAAAGTTCAAGCTGATCTATTTACACGGTATCCAAATGTTGTCGCGAAATGTGGTAGGTCGCATAAAATACCCGTGATTGGTACAACTTTGTACCGCAGTATTAGAAGTTGAATCGTGATTGTGTTCTTGAACTAAGGAATTAATTACAGCACATAAAATCATTAAATGGGCACCTCGTGGCCATATATATAATGAAATATGGTTTACGAAATATGTTTCACAATGTATATATAAGGATGACACAAGTGAGCTAAAAGCAATGACATTTCCAAAATGCAGGGTGTCTACCGAATTTTTTTTTTTTTTTTAATTTCCTGACTTTTCCGACTATTTTAGTTGAATTCCCTGACCCACAACTACCGACACCAAAACACAATATACGATAGATACACTATTCACAACGTAAAATATTTTATTTAAGTTAGATAAAGCAAACTTTGGAAGATGTTTAGAATACATCATTGACCCGGGTTTACTGTTTCAGGGAGTTTGGTCCCAGTACCTGACCAGTACATCCATTTGTTCTCTTTGAGTTACTTTGTTTAGTGACTCATCAAAAGCAACCACCAGATATGCCACGCTAGAGAGGCTTGCTAGCAACTTCTCAATCTTGAAAGTATAGGGCGATACCATGACATATGGCATATCCCACTTTGTCTTTTCCAAGCTGCATTTTTCTGGCGGTCTCACACATATGGAACATCAATGGAGACAGCAAGGCAGACGCTGCTGCTGAACGGAAAGATACACGAGTAGTTATAGTGTTCAAGCACCACATGACCCCCGCCTTTGTGACTTCCTTCTTCAATAAAAAGCCACCACCCACATCTTCACAGAGGGACTAAGAGCTTCCGTGGCGGTGGTTAGACGCATTGCCGGAGCCCTACAAGCACTATTACTACCTCCGGACAAAAAACACCCGTTGCTGTCGCGGAAGGCAAGTCCGCATTTGTCGCAGTTTTGAAAAATATGATGGGGCTCTGGGAAACGCTTTGCAGATATTTCATAGCAGCTTGATGTTTCTTACTCTCAACATGAGTAGTAATCGCCCTATTCCCCATGTTGCTCAAGGAGAACTTGCAGCACGTTGTGCGGTGAGCACTATTCGGATCATTTGGAATGGGCCGAATCCAACTTGCATTCGTGGATATGTCTGGGTTTGTCCAGTTGAGGTTGAAGGAGCACTTTCTCGACAGCGACATAGTCACTTTCACTTATCTCCACTTCCGGAAAATAAGACAATAAAAAGCCCAACCCAAAGCCACAAGCGCACGTGGCAGAGCCCGTGGAGTGCAGGCGTCGAGGTTGCGTTTATGGGGAAGCGCGAAAACATCATATCTGACAAACGAATGGATCGCTAGGCACGCGCCTCTCAGAGGGTAGATGAATGAACGACGGCTGTTCTCTTTCGAGCGAGTGGGGACTCGCACCACCTAGTATCTGCTAGAGTAACTGTTTCTCCTCATATTAGAGCAACACCATCTGACTAGAGTCACGAACTAAACAAAATGGCCACTGCTACTCTGCTTCACTAGTAACTGCGAGTAACTCTTTAGCCGCCATACTTTAGCGTTGCTACTGTAAAGTGTAGCTTATTTATTGGCTTTAGAGTGTACTAAAAAGACGACGAGCCGCCAGTTTCGCACATGCTCTCGTGTGAAGCACATTGCGTGGAAGATTGGGCGGGTCGTGACGCCAAACTTGACTGCGCTCGTGGCTATGCCTGCCCATGCCTGCCGCTTCTTACGTGAGCGGGCGAGCATGGGATAACTTCCCCGACTCGGCAATCTTTTTGAAAATTTCCCTGACAATTCCCCCGACTTTTTCAGGTGTCCTAAATTCCCTGACAATTCCCGGTCGGTAGACACCCTGAAATGTAACAAACGTTTTAGGACAATCCCTTTCAGTCAATATTTTATAGAAACACCGAACGGCAATCACAATGCTTGTTTTTTGTAACCAAACATTGTTTACACTCAGCACTGCGATGCATGCGACTAATCATGCAGAAAGGAGTAATCTGAATTGTTCACTCTAACCTATGCGCACCTTAAAACTCTGATCGAATATGGCCCAAGATAGTGCTTGCCCAAGTGAACATTTTCTTATACAGGATAAGCTGGCATAGTCTGCCTGATGAGGTTTAATCTTGACAAGATGCCGGTCAATTTAATTTGAAAATAAGCATCACCCTTGCTAATTGACGATTTTAACGCGACAGCGTTAAGGAGCTCATGTCGCAGAAAAGCCGATGTCGTTGGCGTGACTGGAAAATCCTGATTGGTCGATAAGGTCATGATGTCACAGCTACACGCCCTCGCGCAAGAATTTCAAACAACCCACAATGCTCACGTGAAACGTGACATCATGCATGGAATGAAAGTATTAAAACATGACATGTAATGCGAATTATAGGTCGCCATATGTCTCAAATGATTTCACTTTATAAAGAACTCCTTTGCCTTAAAGAAGAAAAAGATAAGAATTTTAGGGGGGATTCGAACCCATGACCCTTCGGTTGCGTTTCAGACGCTCCTGACTAGGCCATGCGAGGCACGCTTACGCGATAAATGAGAAGGCGATGCAAACAAGGCCCGTTAACGCTATCGCATTCCACTTTTAAAGGCGAAGCTTAAGCGTCCTCCAAGATTCTTTTTTGTTAAGTAAAACGAAGCAGTGTTTCACATTCTACTCAACATGGCAGCTACTTAATTGGACACTTTCAGACGATTTGCATGCGTAATCGTCATAGTTCCGCCGTGCGCCCCTATTGCAAGCGGAGGCGTAACCTGAAGCAAGGCACTATTCATGGCTTTTTAAAGCCTGCTTAGACATTAAGGCGAGTCTTCTCGATTTTTCGGGATGCTCTATTATTTGGACATTTTTTCGGACCCTGCGAAGTCCGAACAATCAGTTGGCGACTGTATCTGGGATTTGCTCCCCTAGAACCAATGTCTGGGACCACCTCTGATCTGGTCAGTACCACTTCACGCCTGGCATGGACTTACTTTCTTCTCAGTGGCCTGAAAAGTGTCCCGCCTTTATGCTTTCATGCCTAAGGGGTACACGTGTGATGCACGAATGTTCCTCGAGTTTGTCATATGCGACCGTGGCACGCGTAGAAAGGGAAAGGCAAGTGACCTATTTGGCCGGAAAGCGCAGAAAAATCAAACCATTGTTCAGTGCTCAGGTCTTGTCTCGTCCTCAGGAAGGACAACCAACGACAGACAAAAGTGAAGCTCTGAGTCTACTCTATGACCCAACGGCCTCACTAATTTTTCTTTTTTTTTTTTTCTTTTGCATCTCTGAATTATTTACAGAAAGCCCCTGCCCATAGTAGCGAGACAAAAATGCACGTATTTAGCCAGCTTGTTCCTGAACAACTTGCCCGTAGTCCAGACTGAAAGTTTCTGCATCAACGAGGCAGGTGTGCGAGGATGGATCGGTTGCTGAAAGTTTTGTCCATATAGAGGAGTGTCCGTGTTATTGAGGCACGACTGTAGCACAGCAGAAGGAGCACGGAGACTTCGAGAACCACTATAATCTAACCTATATGCTGACTGCTCGCTCCTGTGGAGTGTTTCAGTTGTAGACTAAGGGCACCTGATAACATCTATTTGCTTCGCTGATACCCAATACCCGATTAGCTCGGTTCGTATAATGCTTTGCTAGTCTTGGAAAGGTCTTGGAACCGAAGTCAGGTGCAAGCAGGTTTTTTCAGTCTCGCATCGCTTGGCTAGAGGGTGCCAGCTGCATTCAATCATGGGCAAAAGGATGATTTATTCTTTCCAAATCGGGTTTGAAACGGCAGGGGTAATTGTGGCGATGGAGTAGATTTCACGCAATGTTTTGCAAACTGCGCTTGAGGCCAGAACATTTTACAGGTAGAAAATTGGCACCAGAATCAAAACAACCAAAAGATCTTGTTGTCTTAAGCTGACAGTGAGCGTAAGGAGCACTATTAAGCGGTGTTCTCATCGGGAAGAAATCTGCGGAAAGATGCGTGCGACGTCCGGGGCGAACGTAGCTCTCTTCTTGGTGCCGATGGTAGGCAGGTCCACATTAGCAGTCAAATTTGGTGGTTTCTACTCCTGGTACCAAATCTTTTAACGACATAATACTGTTAAAAACAAACTGATTCTCTGCCGAACAGGGATTAATAGCACAGTCCGCGCCTTCACGCCTTCATGGAGTCGACGTCACCGTGCCATGTTGTGAAAATGCTATGTTTTTGTCGCATGATGCACGCTGCGAGAATTCAAACCCTAACTGCCTAAAAATAAGTCAAATTTGTAATTTTGCATGCCAAAACAACTAATGGCAACTGGCATGCCTTGGCAGAAGACTGGGAATTCATTCAGACCACCCAGGGTTCCTTTGACGCGCAACTAAACTCTCGGTTACATGGCGCGGCGCATTCTCCGCAGTAAGCCTCCGCTATATTGCGGGCACCTTGGCTGGGATTCAAACCCGCCGGCACACGACGAGGCACCGAGGCGGCGAAGAAATACCCGCGATTTCTTCCTCGTACACACGCCACTTTAAAGAGACACTCAACCTAGGGGAAAAAAATTCTCAAATCGTATAATAAATGTTTGTTGAAAAAAAAAAAAAATCATTTTGAGGCCAATAATTATGCCACCATACGAATTTTTTGATTTGTGTGCAAAGCCAAAACTATACTTCTGTGGGATGATGATAGCGTTTGTACCCAATTTGTGCGTGCTCAGAGTTCGCTGAACCTCAAAACGCATACCAGTTGGTTACAAACACCATCATCATCCCACAAGGGTACAATTTCGGTTTTACCCACAAATCGAAACATTTGTATTGCAACAAAAATATTAGGCCAAAAAAAGAAAAACATTTTTTTACGATTAACATTTTTTTTTTAGCATTTGCACGTCCTTACCAGGTAAAGAAAAAAAATCATTTTTTCCTAGGTTTAGTGTTTCTAAGGACTGGGAAGAATGGTTTGATGTCCCCGCCTACCCTTGGGGTCTGCATCCGGGTACAGCTTGGTCCAGGGAATCTTGGCCTTGTGGGGCAGGGACTGCAGGTAGGAGCGGGCCTTCTCGTTGATGATGCAGTTGAGGTCGTCCTGAGACGGGGAGCCTAGGATGCCCAGGATGTGGTTCAGCTGGTCCAGGTAGTGCTTGCCCGGAAAGATGGGCCGGTTGGACACCATCTCCGCCAGGATACAGCCCACAGACCAGATGTCAATAGACTTGGTGTAACCCTTGCTGTTCAGCATGATCTCCGGCGCCCGGTACCACCGCGTCGCCACATACTCCGTCAGGAAGCCCGTGTGGTCGTGCTCGGGGTCCGCCACCCGCGCCAGGCCAAAGTCGCAGATCTGGAACCGAAGCGCGGCGTCGGCCAACACGATTCGCCGTTCGGCATGCTTGTCGGCAAACGCTGCAATCCCGTCGACCGCAGAGCGATGGAAAGACGCCCAAGACTCGCCGCACCCTGCGCTTCTTAATGCATAGACGTTTGCAAGTACGGCCTCTGGGCACCACCATCTTGACGCTAGCATGGTATGTGGGTCGTCCGACAGTCGAGCATTGCTGAGGCGTACCCACGGTTTCCAGACTGGCGCCCAAACGAGACGTTTTCCATCCACGATGGCCAGACTAGCTCCTGAGGTGCGGCTGCTTGCAAACATCTTTAGTGCCACCGATCGGTTTTTAACGCCGCTTGGCGACATTGTTCGCTACGACCTGACACACAGGCCCCTTGGACTCTCACACATATTAGAATTTTTTTTGTGCAACTTTTATCAAACTTGTGTATTTCTACATTTTTTCTTTCGCTCCTCCCCCTCTTTTGTTGCGTTGTATAATCTCCAATATTATAGTTTCATATAAATATTACGTAAACTACTGCTTGGGCAGCCACGTCGGCTTGCAGCATCCTGGAAATAAATTTTCAAAAGGTGCACACGCAAGCAAATTTTATGAATGTCGCATAGTTTCAGGGACAAAAATCTGTACATATTAACTTGTCCTCCAATCGCGAGGGGAATAACCGCTACCCTTGTCAAGACAATCAGTACTTGCCCAATTTTACAAATCGTTGGTCAAGTTCAGAGATGAACTATTATTGCGTTTTATTGGGTGACGGTGATAATATAAAGATATTATGGACCCACTTATAAGATAACAAGAGAACCCAAAATTTCAATTGTTTTAACTGATTATCATTGTATATGGACTAGAATCTGATCGTTTCTAGACTAGAAACCCCAGAAACTAATCATTATAAGCAATACTGTGTTATATGTGGTATCGTTATAAGTGGATTGCACTGTATGTCTCTCCATATTCAAAAGTGTAATCATTGGTGGCCTTGTGCCACCAATGACTAACAGACTTGAGGCAGTGTGGCCTTAAAGGGGCCCTGCAAGGACTTTTTTACTGGTTTATAATTTGCACCGAACCTGAGCGCATTGAACGTAGTAACTTAGTGAAACTTTTCTTTTCTCAAAATTCGCTTTATTTTAAAAGTTATAGACAATAGAACAAGCAAAAAATAACCTCCCTCATGACGTCCTTGGTTGCTTGAGTGGCTGTGACCTAGAGGAGGGGTAGTGAGCTCATTAAGCGCTCACGGCTGCCGCACTCCGTGTCGACGGTCCAAGAGAGCGCCCCTAAAGCATGTTCTGGATAGGCTGTATGCAGCGGGCAGCCAAAGCGGCTTTCATTGCATTTGCTGCGCGATTAAACACTAATTCGGCATGACACTTCATTGGCCACAAACGACAGCAAACACGGGGTAAAGATCAGGTCAGAATGGGAGTCACTCCGCACTGCCATACCGCAAAACGGCCAAACCGCAAGACAAAGCTTCTCGCCGAAGGCCTTCCGAACGCTCGGAGCCGGTCGGATCCTCCTGTTTATACGACTGCAGCGCCGCCGCGTACATCCAGGACCTTTCCGTGTTGGCGCCTGATCCCACTACTCCTTTCTAGTATGTGCCGCCTTTTTCACCGCTTGGTGGCGGGTATGTCGACGGGTCAGTTCTTGTTTCCATACTTTATAAACTGCATTCGTTTCTTTTCTGATCTAGAATACTGAACAAAAACTACTTTCATGAACAATTGAAACGGTTTGCGCCACTTATAATTTGTATTTCAACTAAAAAGAAGCTTTTAGCGGCTCTGACCAGTAGTAAGCCCAGGACCAAATAGGTCACATTTTGTGCGCTTTCGGTACTGCGGGTCGCCCTCGTCGGTGGAGGAGGTTTCCGCATCGTCCGGTTAAGATATGATGCACCGACATTTAGTTACTCTCTCCGTGCCGGCTGGCTTGCCCGAACCCCAAGAGACGTGGAAACCGCAAAAAAAGTAGCCGCTTAAATATGATTGCAGGGCCCCTTTAACCAGGCAGTAGAATCTCTTTACAGCAATGGAAGTGGTGGAACCAGAGTATCATGTTCCTGAGTGATGAAATGTTCAAAAACTGTCCAAGAGGGATGTGGAAAGAAGCAGCTCTTGCAGAGCACAGACTTTTGGGCAGAACTTTTTTTCTCAGCATTGGAGAATGCAGATCTTACAGTGAAGTCCAACAAGCTTGAAGCTTCTTTGACCTTTGAATGTTGTGTGCATACCAGCTGTGTGTGTGTAATCGCACCCTTTATAATGCAAACATGTTTCAATGCACCCGCCCCAAAGTTTCGACGAGCAGACTAAGTGAATGACGACACGCGTGTGTGCACGAGCCACTTGCGCACCGCCACCATGTCTCCCGCAAAAACGGCAGTCACTTCCCGCACTACTTAGGACAAAAAATGGCAGACCATCGCGAAACTGTCAAAGCTAACACAGTTACTCGAGGTTACCTTGAGGTCACAAGTGGTGTTGAGGAGCAGGTTGCTAGGCTTGAGATCCCTGTGCAGCACATTGGCCGAATGAATGTATTTGAGGCCCCTCAGGATCTGGTAGAGGAAGTAGCAGATGTGGTCGTTGCTCAGCTTCTGAGTCTTGAGCAGCTTGTACAGGTCAGTCTCCATCAGGCACTGCACAATGTAGCTGCCACAAAGAGACGTCAAGGATCCAACACACAAACGGTTCTGAGCCGCCCACAAAAAAAAAAACCCGAATAAAATGGCGAGTGGAGACAGGGCAGAGCACTCATAGGATACACATCTTTCATCTGGTCGATTGTGGGTGCCCTGATGATGTCTCTGATGTCTATAATCTGCAAAACAAGCAGAGAACAGATGGGCATTTCACTTAGAGTAAGGTCTAAAATTGCATAGGTGGACACTGGACAATAAGCAGGAAGAGAGTACAGCTTGTAAAGTGAAATACCACTCGAACAAACTTCAGTTGAACAAATTATATTCAGATTAACAAATGTTTTGTAAAATTCCCCACCAAAACCCTGCTGTATCCAATGCAATGAATTGAATGAACATTTTTCTTGACGTCCCGTGAAGTTTCTAATATTTCAGTGTTAGATGCTAAAAAAGAAAAAGCATTTTTTTCTCAAACATTTTATTCACTGGGAAGAGGTGTGAAGAGGATATTCTAAACCATGTATAACTTTTCCATCTTGAGGAACTCCTATATGCCTCGACTCGACCCAAAGAACCCCTCCTAGTTTTGTTATTAATGCAATGAAGCAGTACAGAAACCTATAGGCTTTGTAAACATAATTTTCATACTAGGGAGTAGTTTGCTCATGATTATGCATCAGTGGGTGGCTGAGATCTTCAGAAATAATGCTTAAACAAAAAAAACTCTCGACATAGGGACGGTCGGAAGTCTGGGAGCTCTCCCTGATGACACTCTGGGAACTTCCTAAAATCCCAGTTTGAGAGCCCATGATCTAAACCCCAACTGCCTCCCCCAACAATTCGGCTCAAATTACCAGATTTTTAGACCAGACACATGTGAAAAGAAACGAGTAGGGACACACCTCAACGTTAATATGCATGCAGCAGATATGTATATAACAAACTGGCACCTCTCAACACCAATATGCATACACTGAAACAAGTGCAGTGAGAACTGTGGAGGAAAAGTGAAGGACTCACATTTTCGTGCTTAAACCGTGTGAGGATCTTGATCTCCCTCAGTGTCCTCTGGCAGTAGGTCTGGTGCTCGAACGGGGAGATCTTCTTGATGGCCACTTTTTCCTTGGTCACATTGTCGAAGGCCGACCTGGCCAGAGAAGAACGGGCCAAGACGGTCACCGACACGAATAACACCTCCAAAAGTGTGATAGTTCCATTTTTTACCAGAAAAATGCACCCTCTAGGAAACTGAACACTAGTTGATGATGCTATAGACCAAGCAAGTCTAGCCTCGCATGATGCTGAGTGGGTAAATGAAACTATGCAAACAATTATTAAGGCAAAAGCCTTATATGTCTCATCGTTCAGTCGACCTTCAAAGTCCTTGAGCGAAAACACGTCGACGACACGAAAGCTACCAAAACCGACGGAGACACAAAATGTACGAAAATCGGTGACAAGAAAGGTACCAAAACCCACGGTTCACCACTGGACCACGAGATGGCGTTACTTGTGCCAGACTCGGCGGAGGCGCTATATTTCTCCAAAAAGACTTTTTGCGCTTGTTCCTCGGCTGGTGTCAAACCAGCAACCTTTCGCTCAGTAGTAAGATGCCATGGGCAGAGGGGTACTGTCACATCCGTAAATCATGTGTCTGTCTTTAATGCATCGACGCTTGGGCTTCTGCCTTTTCAAGTCGTCTTAGGAATAACATAGAAGACCCTGTGTTTTTTTTATTATTTTTATAACCTCCTGATGCTAATATGTAATGCTTGTTTGCAGTACACTAGCTCCATAGAGAGAATACGCTGCGAATTCGCCCGGCAGTGTTCAGTTTGTGTGGCATCGCAACAGTCACTGGTAACACCATGCATCAAGTGGATATGCCACTCCTGCTCCCCACATATTCACTCCATGAAGTCAAGACATAATGCAAAATACAGTTAGAAATAACGAAAATACATTTAATACATGCATGTTCTAGTAGTTTGTGGTCTTCTAACAGTGCTTATACACCATTAAAAAGCCTACTACTGTGCATATAAATAAACAACCGATCAATAAAGCAATTTTGTGTGTTATTTGTCTGAAGCACAATGGAGATTTCATTTCATTCTCTGGCTGGCTCATGCCTCAAAAGCCACCAAGCAATACACAGCAAGCGACAATCTTTCTCTTCCATCAGACTTTTCAAGCTGAATTTCGAAAAGCACCTTCTCTAGCCATCAAATTTCTGGTAGTAGTATGGTGAAACTACAGCTATGGATAGAAAGGAAGTGATGAAAGACAGTCTGCTTTCAGAATTCACTCACTTGTCCAACCATATCCGGCACTTGGCAACTAGCACGAAATTCTATAGTGCTCAATGAACACTGCACATGTGTACATCCCCAGCATCAGAATGTCCACAGAAACAAAAGTGCTGAACTCTGAGCGGGCCGAGGCCAAAGTTCAGGAGCTTGCCTTTGAAGACACCATTTGGAGAGGTATCCTCTATAAAGAGAACTTCGGGGACAACAACTCGACGTGGCTCCTGGTGATTCCTGCTAGTCTTCGAGAAGAGATCTTCCAAGCCTGCCACGACGACCCGACATCTGGTCACCTTGGCTACAGCAGGACTCTTGCACGGATCCGAGAAAAATACTACTGGCCCAAGTTCCCAAAAACTGTCCACCTCTACATCCATTCGTGCCACGAATGCCAACAACGCAAGAAACCACCGACGAAGCTGGCAGGTCTCCTGCAACCAATCGCACCCCCGACTGCACCATTCCAGCAGATTGGAATGGATCTTCTCGGACCTTTCCCGCCGTCGACGCAAAGAAACCGTTGGATAATCGTGGCAACTGATTATCTCACTAGGTACGCCGAGACAAAAGCACTTCTGTCGGGGACCGCCGTGGAAGTAGCAAGCAGAGTTCTACAGTGAAGTCTATAGTCCTCCGACACGGCGCTCCCCAAGTCCTGATTACGGACAGAGGCTCCTCGTTCATGGCGCAACTGACACAAGAGATACTCCGCCTGAGCCACACCAACCACCGCCGGACCACGACATACCACCGGCAGACCAACGGGCTGACGGAGCGACTAAACAAGGCCATCGCCGACATGATCTCGATGTATGTGGACGTGGAACACAGTACGTGGGATGAAGTGTTGCCCTACGCCACGTTTGCCTACAACACGGCGATTCAAGAAACTACTGGCATTACACACGAGCTGGTGCACGGCAGAAAGGTGACGACTATGCTCGACGCCATGCTGCCCCATGACCCGACGGACGACGGCACCGATGACGCCCAGCTGGTCACCCAACGGGCAGAAGCCTCCGTTGCCGCGACGTGGACTCCCAGCCCGGAGACAGAGTGTGGGTGTGGACGCCCATTCGCCGCCGCGGCCTCAGCGAGAAACTGTTAAAACACTACTTTGGACCCTACAAGGTCATTCGCCGCCTTGAGGACTTGAAGTATGAGGTGCTCCCCGACGGAACCCGACTATCAGGTTGTCGCCAGCCACGACCCGAAGTTGTCCACGTAGTTCGACTCAAGCCGTTCTACGCGCGTTAGGATTGAGACACCGTATGTTTATTTCGTTTCACCGCAAATTTTTTAGCCATTTCTGTTTTCCTTTTGCGTTGCATCGGGACGATGCACTTTTATAAGGGGGATAATGCCGCCGGCAGGGCCGAGAAAGAAACGCTCGGTCACGGACTACTGGAAGATTCACTTTCATTCTCGCACCAGACGTAACTTTCCCCCTGCTTTCTTGTTCTCAAAAGTGTCAGTTCATCCTCGCCCCAAGCGCCCGAGCGACGCTCGAACTTTCTTTGCCGAACTTTCGAGATAGTGACGCAAGGTAGATATGCAGCTGCCCGCGACCTTGGCTAGTCAGTGTCGCTCGCGCTCTGTTTCGCCGCGAATCGCCGCCTGCTTTTCTGCTGCCTCGACGTTCTTTCCTTACTTATTTTAATTGGCACAAGTTCGCCTATTAAACCTTTATTTTTCAGTTCACTGTTCATCTTCTTGTCACCATCGTTCGTGACAATATCTGAGTCAGAGTTTTGGCATTGCAGACACCTGGACTGGTTGGAAGGACAGACTTAGAAATAAAAACAGCACTAAACCAGACAGGTAATTCAGTCGCAGGTCAGCGCCCTGTCTGTCCACTTCACTACTTGCCCGGCCCATCATCTCTTACATTCTACTAGTAAGTATAGGGCAAATGGGACTATAAGAAATGGATGATCCACAACTACCAGCAACACATAACCTCATTTCTGTGCCTCAGTTTCACATATTAATTGGTCACGACAAAGCACTCCCAGATCTACCATTTTCTAGATTCCCAGTTTGAGAGTTTTTTTCGGTACGAAGATGTGTTGGCATGGCACGAGCAAGCTTAAATATTCCTTGCAGCAACAAAGCTAGATCTTCTTGGCTCCATTAAGCTAGGATAGCTTATCTTTTTCCCCCAAGTTAGTACTAAGAAGCTTTTGCCCTCCCCTTCCTGATGGCACCCCTACATTTCCTCACATTTCCTACCAAAGAACCTTCGAACCAAGCCTAAAACAGGGGGGCACCAAATCTTGAGAAAGCTGTGGATCAATCAATGACAACCATAAATGTTTTGGAAAGGTGCCTTCAATGTCATTAAAAAGACTGCAAAGCATCACGACTAGGGATCAGGTTCAGTGTTTTCTGAGTTTATTTGTCATAAAATTTGGAGGGTGATTATCCAGGTTCTCCGAAATATGGAGTTTAATTTTACCGCATGCCAATTTTTTCAAAATTCAATATAAAAATTAATTTTATCCAAACCAAACCTCACGAAAAAAAAAAAAAAGAAAAGTATTTATTAAAACCAGCGTTTGGGTGCTAAAAAAAAAAAAAAAAAGAAATAGCTGAACCAGAGGAACAGCTAGCTATCTGAGACTCAGTCGCGCAAATTTCGCGATAAAGCACCGGTGCACGCAAACCGACCCTATCACCTGCCCTCTTTATATATATATATATATATATATATTTTTTTATATATCTTTACGAGGCTTGACCCAGCTGCCAGAGGAAGCCGCCTTGCCTTTGCCCGTGCAATGTCTCAGTCATTTGTATGAACGTGAGGAACACAGTGAGGCTCTTGCGTTCCGCGGCAGTCAGCAGCGAGCGATGGCCGGCCACGCACCCGGCTTTTCCGATGAACTGCAGCGAACGCTACAAGCCATCCCAGTCAATCCAGCACTGTGAAGGTGTCACGTGACAACGCGACCCGCGCCCCTCTCACAGGTCACGTGACACTCACGCGGCATCAGATTGGCTACCATGGCTCGTACCGGCCTACGTAGTCCATCGTCAAACCACAAGCAGGTGCAAAACCAACGTGCAAACGCGCCAGGACATCAACGACCTTGCTTCCAAGCGAAGAAAAAACTTTTTTTTTTTTTTTTTTTTTTTTTTGACGAGGAACTGTTACATAAAATACAAGCATGTAGGGTAGACCGGAGTTCGTTTTCTTTTTTTCCCCCTTTTACCGTGTACAAACCAAGGAGGTTTGTGTGCTGACTGTTTGTACAAACAGCCAGCGCACAAAAAAAGAAAGAAAACGCACCGTGAAAAAAGAAACGTCTGATCGAATTGTGAACTTCGCGACACAAACGAACTGTCGAAGCGACAAAAGCACGCCCGAAGGGGCACTATACGGGAAAACCTGCGAGGCAATGTAACAGTTGTGGTCGTTTTTTGTTGTTTTTTCACGCTGATTTATCCGGCACAAAAGGGGGAAAAAAAAAAAGTACGAACCCTTGTTTGCGAGATCGCGCCTTTCTCTACAGATACTCGCCGATAACGTCCACGGTCGCGAAAAAATAAATAAATAAACAAGTAAAATCAACTCGAAAAATGTATAAAAGCCGTGCGTACTAGCGTGGTTTCGACTCCCGAAACATCCGAAGGCTCTTTGACATTTACCTAGACACTTGCCGCACTGTCCACCGCCACAGCACAAACCGCAGCACGTTTTCGTGTACTTTTTTTTTTTTTTTTTACCATCTTCGCATGTGAACAGGGCGTGCATACCGTCGCCGTCGGCTCGACGTTGACCATGAAATACTTCCTCAACGCGCTCCACAAAACGGAACGAGCTGCTTCTCGTCTTTATATTTTCTTTTAATCATGAACAGCGCATGATTCTTGCAACACCGCCGGACCGAACCCAGCCGGAGAAGCTGCTACAGCGACGCGCTCCTCGCCAGTGTGCATCGGCGGGCAGGCCAAGACTGCCTGACCGCGGGCGTGCATCGCTGGTTGCCTCCACGAAACGCGAGGGAAAGTGCCCGAGGTGGTACGCAGCGCAAGAGAACCACTCGGCGGATAGGCGTAGGCCTAGCCCCCGCTGAATGACAACTGTTGCACGGCGCTGCCAAAACCCGTGCGCATTCATACATGCACAGAGACACCACACCGCGCAAGCCGCGGTAGGCTACAGCCTCCGAACGGGGGTAAAAAAGAAAAAAAATGGCGAGGAAAAGAGAGACCGGTCGGGGACCGCTACTCACACGACCATGCCGTATGCACCTTCTCCGATGTAAGCTAAATTCGTGTACCGCGGTGCAACCTCGAACAGTTGGCCCCTGACTGTTTCCGTTGCTTTCGATTCAACCTCTTTGGTCGCCATTTTCGTTACCAATGCTCTCGCGAGCTCCTCCAGCATGCCTCGCGCGGAAGCCTCGCATAAAAACTGACGTCACACGCCGGATGTGACGTATATCTGGGTCACATTCTAATTGGTCGAGAATTTTTACAAACGCAGCCAATCGCTGGTCGGGCCTCGGCCGGAAATGAGACACAGGAACCTGCACAGACTGCATGAATATCCGACTCTCGTAACTCTACCCACTCTGCACGAGCCACTGGACAACGGCTATGGTGCCTGGAGCGCGTCTCCGACTGGTGTGTTTAGCCAGTGACACTATGGTGCCTGGATCGCGTCTTCAACTGGTGTGTTTAGCGTCCTATCCCGCCCATACATCAAAAGTGGTCCCAATGTGGCAAAAATGACGCGAGTGTCATGCTGTTGCCTGTCGCGATCCTGGCGGTTGGCCGTAGAAATGCCGGCGAAAAGCACGAGCGAACGCGAGTGTCGCTGTCGTCACGGCGTCCCAACTTCCGGCTGCTTCAACTTCCGTCTTCCGTGGACTGTCACAGTGGAGCGATCTCTATGCAGTGGAGAGCATTGGGACGCCGCCAGGGTCGCGGCCGGCGACAGCATGACACTTGTATGACGTCATCAGGCGGAAATCGAGGGATCACTTTTTTGGCCGCGGTAAACACACCAGTCGGAGACGCGTTCTAGGCACCATAGTACTGAGAAGCGAAAGGGAGAGGGAGAGGGCGGTAGAGCAGCCACCTAGGACGAACAAACCTGCCATGTAGTGAAGCCAACCATCTCTTCCGTAGGAGGTTCAATGATGTCGCCCCTGCAGTACCGACAGCAAGAAATCTAAATGTTTTTGACTGACAGTTCGGGACCAGCTCGCCGTTTTCTAACGGAATATTATTTCTTATTTTCCTACCTTTTCACCCACACACGACCCGGCGCCAACTATTTCTATGCGCGCGATTCCGGGTGACCGCCAAAGCTCCGTCTGCAAGGCGGTCAAGCGCTTCTTGCAGACGGTCAAGCCGGTCAAGCGCCCAAGCGTTTTCTCCGCGTTCGCGCCGCAAAAGCGAAGCTTGGCCGTGCTTGTTTCGTATTTTGTCTCAGCGAAACTCGTTTGAATCAGGGCGGTCACATCCAGAACAGTGTTCCACATGTTGTTAAAAAAACATATATATGATATACCTTCAATAATAATGGAAATACAACATGCTAAAAAAAAAAAAAAAAAAAAAAACGAACGTTTGCCAGGCGGCGCTACCTAACCTTATGGGCTTACGTGCGTGTTGTGAGGTGAAGCATCGGGCCTGGACACCTCATGGAGAAGCTGACAGGCATAGAGTGCCATGATGGAACTTAACCCGAGACTGGAGTAGAAACAGAAACTTAAAAGTAGAAGGGACAGAGACAAGTGAAGAAGAGAACGTCTCAAACGCAGCTAAAAGATTTATTTAGTCCCACATCCTTATATACTCACAACCACAAGGTCACCCAAACACTCAATTCGCCCCTTTCAAAGGCACAACACACCAGAAAAAAAATAAAAAATAAAAAAAAAAATAAAAGAAAGATCCAAAGACAACAATGCAAAGGACGCCCCCTCAAGCAATACTACGAACCATCCACTTGTCCGAAAAGAAAAACTTTTCATTTTTCCCTTCCTTCTCTTTTCTCTCTGTGTGTCACTGACACTACACCCACGAACATAGTGTGATTATAATGCAATTAAATGCAAAGGTGCAAGCGAGCTGGACAAGAATGACGAAAATAAACCCTGGAGAAGGGGAACAAGAGGGACAAAGGACAAACACAAATCTCCAAACACAGCTAGGTGACTGGTGCGCGACCGAAAAAATCCGCCTGGTCCGGGTATCGAACCCGGGACCTCTCCATTACAGGTGGAGCGCTCTACCAATTGAGCTAACCAGGGGTTAGACATCAGTAGAGCAAACGGGTTTTATCAGCCGCCACCAGTCTAACACCAACAAGGGTGAAGCTTGCAATTTAAGGTTATGATTATAATGCAATTAAATGCAAAGGCGCAAGCGAGCTGGACCTTTGCATTTAATTGCACCTTTGTATTTAATTGCATTATAATCATAACCTTAAATTGCAAGCTTCACCCTTGTTGGTGTTAGACTGGTGGCGGCTGATAAAACCCGTTTGCTCTACTGATGTCTAACCCCTGGTTAGCTCAATTGGTAGAGCGCTCCACCTGTAATGGAGAGGTCCCGGGTTCGATACCCGGACCAGGCGGATTTTTTCGGTCGCGCACCAGTCACCTAGCTGTGTTTGGAGATTTGTTTGTCCTTTGTCCCTCTTGTTCCCCTTCTCCAGGGTTTATTTTCGTCAGGCATAGTGTAACGTTTAGCGTCTTGTCCCGCCCATACATCAAAACCATCAAAAGTGGTTCCAAATTGGCAACAAATGACGTCACAGAAGCCATAGTCAACGTTACAAGCTTGCTCCAGTAACGTTGGCCATAGTGTCCTGCTGTCGGATGTCGTGATCCTGACGGTTGGTCGTAGGAATGCTGGCAAAAAGCACGAGCCATAGAGCCACGAGCGAACGCGAGTGCCTGGCCGTGTTCCAAAATTTACTCGATCTTACTCCAGGGTAAAAGTTTTGTACTTCGGCGTTCCAAAACCTACCCGCGTCCAGCTTTGCTTAATCTGTGTTGTCACATCACACGACCTGCAAGATTTGGAACCGTCAAGAAATAAGATTTGCCTAGAAAATAATTTCGTTTTTGACGATATTATAAGGTTGACACTGGCTCGGAGAAATCATGTTCCCACAATCTTTACCCAGGTAATATGTTCCCAGACGTCGGCTGAAAAATCATCCTTCAACCATCTTTTTGTCCAGGTAATGTCATATTCCAAAAATACTGAGTTCTATCCCAACTGCTAGCATGACATTCTCCTAGAGTTCGAGCTGTCTGCAATGCATAGCCTATTTACCCCACGTCGAAAAACCCCATTCGCTTTCCTCGGGAACTCCCTGTACATTTGTACTTATCTTCAGAGAAGCAATGGTCAAGAGCACTAAACAAAAAAATATACTGGCTTTGTCAGTAAAGTGCTCACTTCCTGAAGAAACAAAGATCAAGTCAATAGTACAGTCCAACCTTTTTATTCTTAACTTCCTTGAAAGTTTGCATAAAGAAAAAAAAAAAAGCCACTTGCAGCAAAATGAACAACACATTCAGCACAAATCTAAAATGAGGTCATGTAAATGCCAATACTAACAGAGAAAAACAAGGAAGGAAGCTGTGGATTGGTGCTCAATTTTATATATCCGAAAAAATCCTTGCAAGCTTTCCATGAAACTTAGTTGTCAGAGCCTCCAGTCATTTCGCACAAAATTTGTGTTGACTCGTTTTCGTAAAGTGGCACAAACACTCCCACGAATTAAAAAAAAAAGTTACACAATGCCTCTTAACTGTACACATCTGGAATGGGCCAGGAAAAAAAAATAAAAGCCTCGGGGATCGGGGACGAACCCCAGACGGACACCGCCCAGAAGAAAGAAAAGGAGAGGCGAGGCAACTGTCCACTAGCATGCATGGCTTCGGCGCCGAATGCCCCTCAGTCACGAGTTAACCCGAAGAACTCTGTGCCGAGGCCCGGCATTCTAGGAGATGCAGATACGGGAGAAGAAAAAAAAAAAAATGGCGCAGGTTAGAGGTCGTCGTCGTCTTCGTCGGGCAAAGAGGTGTTCTGCGCCTCCTTCATGTCGTTCTCCAGCTTGGCCTGCCACTCTGGGTCCATCGTTACTTCGGGGGGAGCCAGGGCGGGCATGGCCACAAACTCCAGGTTCGGGTCGCCAATCAGCTTGCGTGCCAGCCAGAGGAAGGGCTTCTCAAAGTTGTAGTTGCTCTTGGCACTGATGTCATAGTACTGCAAAAGAAAAACAAAACGACAGATCAGGCCCTTGAATGTCGAGAAGTGCCTAAAGCCTTCCCGGTATGTGGGCACAATCGGGGCTTTTGGTAACACTTCTGGATTTTTGAAAATTCAGTATAAAACTAAACAAATTTTACTAAGTAGTTACTGACAGGACGAGGCCCGCCCATTGCATCCGTCCTGCCGTTCCCCATCTTGTCAGTAACTACTAATTTAGTTTTCACCAAAACAAAATTGAGCAGTTTCCTGGAAGATGTGAAGATTCTTCAAGCAAGAAAACAAAGGACAACAAACAGTGTGGAGAGTTCTGTTCTACTTGGTAACTTTGTTTGCATCATTAGACATACATAGCAATATCACCCAATTTCAACCATGAAATACAAACACTGCAAACTGTCCGTTAAAGTGGGCCTCGAAACTCAAATATGCTTTTCAGTAATATGCCCAGCACCTGTTTATCACACTGACAAGTCACACAATAGTGTTTTGTTTTGAGAAACAATACACACTTGTGGAGGCAGCACTCTCAGATTAGAGGGACAACAATATCCTCAGAAGTGTCGGACACACGTTAATCATCACTGAATGCTGCCCCCTTACCAGATGCCTCAAAACTCCTAAAGGGGTCAAACACCTCCACCTGACCAATCTACCAAGAGTTCTGGCTATCACAGAGTTGGCTACGCCATTCCCTGAAGTGAGTACCTTCAATTAAAGGGGCTGTAACAGGGTTCACACAAAATTTTTGATGCAAAATTCAAGGACTTCTGAAGAACTTCAAGAGCACCGCAAGACAAAAATTCCAGGCAACATGAAGAAAAAAATGGCAATGGCACGGGATGCCGTGGATTGGATTAAAGTGACCCTGAAAATGGGCGCATGTTGCAAGACGCAATCATGATGTTTTTAAGCGAGTGTTGGCAGATTCACAACGAAAACCGAGATAAAATTCTAGCCTGATTAAAATTGTCAGATATCATTTCCATCCACGAATCAGGCATGTTTAAGAGAAAGAAATGTATTTTCTGGTGGTCAGAGCTTCTTGGCAATACATCTAGTATGCTGCCATACTGGTTGCCAAGGCAACCAGGCGAGCACTTTTCTTCCCGAAATATTATTGTGAACCACAAGGCACTGCCGCTAAACGCATCGGCGTGGTTTGGATGAGCAATGAGAAGCTAAGTTGACTGACCACAGAAACAATGAAACAAACTCAGGACGACTAAAGAAAGGTCCGTCATCCTTCGTTCCCAGTTTGTTTTATTAAATTTTGCCAACCCACTCTTTACTTGAACTGAAGAGAAGCCAAGTGTATCCCCTTTCATGCAAATCAACCATGTCTTCAGGAAGAACACCGACCTGCCTAATTTTTTTTCTTGCTTGTAATGTTATTAGACTGTTTGCACTACATAGTCCGTTTCCATGTACGCCTCCCATGAGCGAACTCCTCAAACCGCCATTATTCGCAAAAAAAATTTTCATTTCCAGATGTTCAAAAAACACAAGGAGCATTTCACCTTTCCAGAAATTTAAGGGCCCTTGAAAGGCTTTTATTGAAATGCCAGGTATTTAAGGACTTCGAGAAGCTGCAAGAACCCTGCTCTCGCTGTTTTGTTATTTCTAGTTGCAATTCTTACTATTTATGTAGTGTTTTTTCCAAGTTCTGGAATTGTATTTAGACCCCCGTGTAACACTCAGAAACAGGTCCTTAAGGTAAATAAATTACCGAGTATTGCACAACAGAACCCCTGCAATGAATTCGGTTTATTTTATTACCTGTAGAAGTATTACAAGCTTATGACAACTTTACTTCATATTTGTATATTTACTGTCGACGAGCAATTGAGGCACCTCTAACTTTGCTCGTCTTTTTTTTTTTTAAGCTGCTCTGTACGTAAGTGTACCATTTTTTAGGCTTACCACTGCTTGTGGACATATCAAAATAAATATTATTATAGCGAGAGGCTGAACTGCAGAATGCATCAGCTAAAACTTCACAACTGGCAGAAAACGGGAGGACAGCACCACGCACCTGGAGGTTCTTTTTGCGGTGGAAGACGATGGACTTTGCCTTGACCTTGCGGTCCTTGATGTCCACCTTGTTGCCACACAGGACGATGGGGATGTTCTCGCAGACCCGAACCAGATCCCGATGCCAGTTGGGCACGTTCTTGTACGTCACTCGCGACGTCACGTCAAACATCACGATGGCGCACTGACCTGCAAGAGCAGGACAACAACAGTCAGCACCAGTGAATGACTTAGGGCTGGATCACACATTTGCATTCGACTAACCGAGTGCCTTGGGATATCTTGAAACTGCTTCACGCACCCGAAACACTTCCAACCTGACCGCAACTAAACTGAAACTTGTGGGGTCTACGAACAATGCACAAGAAAAATCATAAACTATGGATGGAAATATTTTTATTTAAACAACACATTTGTGGAGGCAGCTGCACTATGGCATTGCCTTTTTAGGGAAAGGATGTAAAGTTGCGTTTTGCCGATACCAGTCTTCAAGAAGATCACAGGTTTCGGCCTAGTCTGATGTCAAATTTCATTCCATTGGCTTTATCCAGTCTTTACGATTCCGGGGCCCTTCACCTAATGATGCACTTGCTTCATTCATTTCGTTCTTCCCTGAGGTGGGCGCAGTTGCACAGAAGGCATTAGGGTGTGGACATTCGGTTGGGTACGGGACGTAGTGGGTGCTCCGTTCCCATCTTTTTCAGCTCTCCCATTTTTTGTGGATATACACTGCCCGTTCTTACCCTCCTCAGGACCATCAACGTAGAGAAAGAGATGTGCACGTTGTAAGTGTTCCAGTGCTACCTGACAGACGGCACCAATGTGCCAAACTGCCAGAGATCACAGCGCACTTTGTCGATCAGACGCACATGCGCAAATCAACCAAGGGCTTGGAACACAAAGAAATGGCTTCGGACAAAATTATACACAACAGGAAGCACCAGCTTGTCGGCTTCCTTCCCTTGTAGATTATAATCCGACTAATGCACTCACCTTGAATGTAGTAGCCATCACGAAGCCCTCCAAACTTTTCCTGGCCTGCGGTGTCCCAGACATTAAAGCGAATGGGTCCTCTGTTTGTGTGGAACAGGAGTGGATGCACCTCCACACCCAAAGTGGCTGCAGCCAGGAAAGAAAGAAAACAGACTTCAAAACCACCCACCAAAACAAATAGCTACCAGAGTCGGCAACAATGAGTTGGACCTGGTAGTCTCTTGGTTGCATAGCGAGAATTATTCTAAACCAAACAAACTCATGCTGGACATGCAACAAGAGTCGAAACCATGTATGGGAAAATCCCAGTTTTACTTGGGATATTTTGTTTCCCTGTAAACTTGTCAAGAATTCAACAAAACTTTTGGTAAATGCTCTTTCTTAGGGGTTAACCGTTTGTTTTCTGGGCAAGGGAAAGATGTTTGCACCAGCAGCCGCAACAGTCTCAGATTAGAGGGACAAAAGCATCCCCAGCCACTAAGGTATCGGACACAAGGCAATCACCACCGACTGGCAGGCTGTGGTACCTCGAACTTAAAGTAATGGATATCAGACAATAAGAAGCCCACCAGAGAGGAGCACCGTGCTTGAGATGACAAGGCTTCTCAAAATGCTCACCCACTGCATAATCAACTACTACTCCTTTATCAGAGGCATTGCATACAGTCCAAAAAGTAAAACACCGCATTCAGCCACGTACCAACATATTTCTTCTCAAACTCTCCCGTGAGATGCCGCTTCACAAATGTGGTCTTCCCAGTCCCACCATCACCAACAAGCACACACTGGAGACAAACAAACGGGTGTAAAAACACATAAAGTGGCAAACATATATTTAGTACCCCAAAACTACCAAGAGAAAAAAGCAAATATCCACACTGTCACTTTACAATAGCAAGATCTATAACATTTGCATTGTTAAAAGCATTTGAACAAAAACAGACCGACATTAAAAACAAGTTATGTGAATAGTCCACCTTTCTTTGGGTGGCCAAGTGGGCTAGCACACACCAGCTCTGAGCAAGCACGTGAGATAAAGCTCGTGCTGCAGAACCCAGGGTCCAATCCCTACCCCAGACTGTTTCAATCTAGATGAGCATCATATTGGCATGCGGTTGTGTGTCACTACTGTGTGATGCACGTTAAAGACCACAGGCTAGCAGTTGTACAGCACAAATTTCCCAACTACAGCTGGGAGACAACTTGCCCATTGAGGCAGACTAAGTTCTCGGCTGAACAAACATACACACACCCCAATTTGTTTTCCCCCTTTCTTTGCTGTACACAAAAAGTTCACAATATTGATCAATGTTGCACAATTTAATTCACATGAATGTCCGCACACTCGTGCTGCTCAGTAGGAACCTATGCTAGGGTGAAGTGTATTTAAGGTTAGTTTTGAAACTCCGAACAACTAGGCCTTAAGCAGACCTTTAGTATCACTACACTAAAAAACAGCGTCATAACTGTATAAATATTCTCCATGCAACGTTGATTACAACCGCAAACGAGAGATTAAAGTGGCAGCCCACATTAGGGCACTACAAATGACGGCATATCGGGCTTACTTTGAATGTGGGCGTGCAGTCGCCCTGGTCTGTTAAAGGCTGCTGCATTATCTGAAAGAGGGAAAAAAAAAAAAAAAACACAAGAAAATGAGAACTGGTTAGGCGTTTAGAAGCAGACAGAGAGCGCGATCTACGGAACACCGACTTTGCCGTGAAGAATTGCGAGCCTTCTCTGCTCGGAGCGCGTCCCAAGCCGTTTGAATGGAAAAAGCCAGGCCTCGGTAAACACTATCGGTGCCAAGGGGATACGCCGCGGAAGTCAACGTTCAAGCGACAACGCGGCAACCGGCGCCACCGCTTGGCTAGTCTTCGCCGCACTCTTTTATTCGAATCGGTTGACTCACAAATTTGGGAGTCCTGATGAAAGACGTAGGCAGACGGACGGCGGTTCCGGGAACTCAACCAACCGAAATGCCGGCAACGACACCGCGAAGGTTACGAGCGTGTCAGTAGCGAAAACTACTATAAAATAAACTATAAAACTGCGAAATACGGTTCTAAGTGTTTCTTTGATGTCGTTTGAACACTTTAAAACATAAAAACCAGCTAACATTGAGGGGAAAACTGGTCGAAAGGACGGAGGCAACAAACTGCATCGGCTCGCGCCAATATTTTTTTTTTTTTCCGCCACAAACGCGCAGTTTACTGACAAATCGCGAAAATATGGATGTTTCGTTTCGTTTGAATAAGAAGAGCGTCAAGTTAACCTAATAATGGGACAAGTATCATTTCTTATTGTCGTTATTTTTAGCGCGCTTGACACAATTCTGCCTAGGCCTCGATGGAACAAAAGCACCACACAAGAAAAAATCGGCTCGCCAGGATGTTTGACGCTTCTGGGCCTGCACTGTGGCCGCGAATTTGAGCAAAAAGGGTGTGGAAATACTCACGTGAAATTGGATTGACGTAAAAAGAAAGATTTGTGTCCGATTTAAATAGATTGCGGCCTCACAACTGCGCGCTCATACACACACTCCCATACGCTCTCACACAAGCACCGGATTTAGCAATGGACGATCGCCAACCGGCTTTGACCGGCTCCTGATGCTTCGAATATTTGAAACAGAATTAACATTGGGAATTAAAATATATTTAAATATTTTATATCTAAATATAAAGTTAACAGCAATAAAATTTACTAAAATAAAAGTTAATGAAAAATAATGCTGCGGTGCCACACTGCGCAACTGGCGCGGTGCCGCTGCGCAACTAGATGTCTTTGTCGCTAGGTGACGCAAATCGCCGCCTGATTCAGGGAGCAGTTCCTTGATGCTTAAATCTCTATTTATTTGTTAGGAGCGGGGCGAGCGGCGCCAGTTTAATGGAGCTTTTGAAGTTGGAAGTGTCCCCAGTGCATTGCCCCAGTGTCTCGGTGTCCCTGGCGCATCGACTACAAACACAGGTATAACGTGATAAAAGGCAGTTTTTTTTGTTTTATTACTGCTACAAGTACAAACATATAAGCTCTGTTCACTCCCATGGGAGCGTATTTCTAATTGTAAGCGAAGACGTTGGAATCGGGCATGGCGCATCCGTGGTGAAAACTACATTTCCAGTTAGCTATAAGTTGACACAAACACTGTGGTGCTTTAGCCCTTTAGCCATCAACACATTCAGTTTCGACTCGTCTGCCTTGTTGCCATCTGGGTTTCATTTTGACACCGTGCACTCTCTAGTTCTGCATCTGAAATAGAAAGATTCGAAACCTTAGCTCCAAAGGGCTGTTCTTGTTAGCTCTGTTCCCCCCCCCCCCCCCCCCCCACATACACACACACACAATCACACACAAAAGCATCCTAGCGGCGGAAGGCACAGAGCTAGAATTACAGGACATTCATATATTCCCCACTCCGCCAAAAACGGTACGTTGCAGCTGTCTGTTACCAGATATTACCCCTGGAGAATTCTGTCATTTAAAGTCTGTGGCCATTTCAGCATCTAATCCCCATAGGACGGGAACACTAGTTGAACACAGGAATTGGGCAGGCGCCTATACTATCTGCAACAAGAACATCCCATGTTTGTACATGCCATGTGTAAGCACTGCATGCTCAGAAACCGAATTCGTGTGTCTGCGCACGTGCCGTGCTGGCAGCAGGCAGTGCCGCCGCAGCGAAGTGACATCAGAGTGAAGTATTGGTCTATGCTGTGTGCAAGTTTGTCTGCTCCTTGCACAGGGGTTGATGATGTCAGAATGCCGAGCTCTTATTGCCTGGTTAAAAATAAAATGGTGGGTAGATGTCGAGGCATCTAGCATTGAGGTCTACCCACTATCCTTTCAATCAAAGCCGCAACTCTTGCGCAGGAAGTGGACGACTTGCTCTCCGCATAAGATTTCCAAAGTTGCAATCCCCTCTTTTCAATAACCGATCTTCTCACCCACCCCCTCCTCATGAATTGATGCAATGCCTTTCTTTTTGTTTTTTATTTACACATGGCAAGCTAGTCAGTAAAACCAACTTGGAATACCCGTGATGCTTCATGGTGCCTCAAGGCAGTCCAGCCTCGTGGCACCATGTTTTTCTTGGTGCATGCTGTGCCTCCAAAACTAGCTTAGCCGATAAAGGTACAAACCAAGCATGTGTGATGGTGGAAGCAACAGTATAGGTATATACCCTATATGAGGGTCGTTCAAGGTTAACCAGGACCTTTATTACTACAGAGAAAATCAATAATTTGACAAGCACGATACTATGTGTCAGCTGTCTAGGGTATTCTCCGTGCGTGTCCAGACACCATAGCCGTCGTTTCAACCACAGCTTCCCGATTCGATCCTGAGGTGTATAAATTGAAATGGTCTGTGTGACTGCAGTTGGATGAACGTGTCTGTGCAGTTTATTGGTCACTGGCTGTCGTTTTTCACCACACTGTTGACACCATGTGTACTCTTGTCCGTGACATTGTTTGTTCCCCTACTGTGCTTGCAATCCTCTCATAAGTTTAGCTGGCTTAACTTTCTCCTTCACCAAAAATTTGATTATGCCCCACCAGACACATTGCTCACTGCCACAATAGCTGAAACTGCTGCACGTGTGCCGAAATACGCTGTTCCAGGAAGGATATAATGATAACATCACCAACCCCAGATTTCATTGAGTTATATTTTTTAAGCGATTTTCTTCAACAAAAGTCTCGGTTAGCCTTGAATGACTGAGATACGACCCATGCTGGACTTTACCTGAGCCTCCTGCTTCAGTCAGACGAGTGGTGAAGGGTACTGCTGCTATGAGAGGCCAATCCAGCTGCCGATTATGATGACCAGAAGTACCGCAAGTACGGCCACACATATCAGAATGAAGACACGTTTCTAGGAAGACATGTGCAATGCATACCGTTAGACTCTTCGAACAGCCTCGGTCCACCTTGCACTTGATTCATTGGTCTTGGAAGCATTTTGGGGATATGAGTAAACAGAGGGTGTCTCGTTTTATGCGGTAAACATTTTTCTTTCATCAACTTTACCCTGCTGTTTATGCATTTTGGGACTAAGGAATTTTCATTTTCCGACCTTATTGCTGAAGCAGTGTTTTTTGAGTGATGGCATCCTAGACAAGTAATTTGCACGCTAAAAGAAGCAAAGTGGAAAAAGGTAATGATTAAAAAAATTAAATACATCATGTTTATTTATTTATTTTGAAGATACTGCCAGCCAATTTTGAAGGCCAAGGCATGGTGTAGGCAAAACAATAAAAAATGTCAACAAAGCAAATAAATACACATTAACACTCAGTAAAATTAGTAAGCAGTCCAGTTGGTTTAGTCCTTGGTATTCACTTTAACGAAGAAAAGTTCATCTGTTGCACTTGCATCAATTGCATTTATTTGATATAAACGGGATTTATTTGATCTAAATCAAATTAATTTAATCTAAATAAAATTTGTTTTATTTAGATCCCTTAATCATACAATAGTGCTTTTTAATCACAGTGTATTTTTGAACATTTGTGATCAATCTGTCTGATCACCAAAAACTATGCGGAAGAAAATATTACTGTAAATTTGAAGTGCAATCAACGAATTTTGAAATATTCCCGTCGTGTTCAGAAATATGTTGAATATCATCCACAATATCCGTAAATGACAATTGCACGTTTATACTTTGAGCCTGGTGGCTGTATTTTTTGTCATAAACGGTCCACTCTGGCAAGCGCTCGGAGAAGGCCCAGCGGAGACCACGTGACATCCAACGCAATCGTGACGTAGTTCGTCTCAAGACGAGCAAAGCTACGGCGAGGCTGACGTCGAGAGGATGGCCTAGTCGTTCCAGCCACCGAAGCGGCTGCTTTTGTATGAATTTTGAGTGACGGGTTAATCTTCTGTAATCTTGTAGGGCGACAATAGCGACTTCTGCGACACACAAAAGGCATTCTCGGGAAGAGGGGAGTTCCTCCTGCCCCTGTTCTCTCGTCGTGGCCGGAGGCGGGACAACCTCCGTCATATAGCTGTCAAGGTTCCTAGACGGGCATTACAAGCGAGGCGTTAGCGACATCCACCAGGTGCTCTTTGCTAATCGTTTAATTCGTTTTAAAAATTACTTTTTGTGATTTTTTTAACAAGATATTGGTATGTTCGATGTGATGCTGCTCTTTTGAACACATATAGACCAAAAAAATGAGCGCCGAAATTTCGTTGAAGTATCCCTTTAAATAAGAACTTCTTATTCAGTAAACCCTGAATATTAGAAAGAAAACAAAAAAAAAAACAGCTTCATATTTTCGGGTTAGTGGAAAAAACTTTATTTGCTTCTCACTTTTCTGTTAGTTTTTTTCACACGACCGAAGTGAATGAGAAAACTCAACATTTTGATTTGCTCAGAATACACTGCTTTGTGCTTGTGTTGAATCTAACATAAATATTTTTTGCTCTATAATTTTTTTAAAACTTAAATACAAAACAAATGTGCGTAGAAAACATCAAAAGATAGACGAATGGTAAATAAAAATACTTTTGGGATTACTTTTGCAGAAAATGTTTGATTTAAATCATTTTGATTTTGATTCTCCACCCTGAAGAGGCTTCTCAGTAATTTTAGCCATTTGGCTAAAATTACTGAGAAGATATTTGCAAAAAATTGCTCGCTACCAAAACGTAGAGAGACTCGGGTGGTACAAACTATAGCACTTTGCTGTACTGGATTACAATAAAACCAAACCAAAAATAGGAATCTTTTATAATGTAATTATTGCAAAACTGCAAGCAAGCTGGACAAGAACGACAATAATAATCCGCGGAGGCCAAACACAAAGGAGAATTGTGTTTGGCCTTTGTCCCCCTTGTTCCCCTTCTCCAGGATTATCGTAAGGATCTTTATTGCAGATGACGTCATTTCCGATACCCTCCAGAGAAGAGGGGAAGAAGGAGCTCCCCTCTTATCAGGATCCTCATTTGTGCCTCCCGGATATGCACAGACGTCGCCATTCTCCTCCCAGAAGATTAGAGAAGATTAACCTGCCACTCAAAATTCTTACAAAAGCAGCTTTCCTCTCCTCCTTTTACATGGTGTTCAAAAGTATGCGATGTGATGTCGGTGCAAGGAGCCTTATTCTATTTTATTTCACATTGTGAAAAAGGCCCCTGTAATGGCATTCAGACTCAAATATGCTATCTTCATGTAGGCATGAGGCTGAAGCAGAGGGCAGAGTGCATAAATAAGTTTAATAAATCTAAGAATTGTAATTGATCAGTTTAGTGCGGTTTCGTAATCTGTCATTTGAAAAAAACATTCACCAAGTGGTGACTGTGCCTCTGTAAAAAACAGCTGCCACAAAGGAGACTATGTTTAGACCAGGCATGTAGCCAGGGGGGGGGGGGGGGGGGGGGGGGGGCATGGGGCCTGGGCTCCCCCGAAATCTTCCATTTTGCTGGGTCCTCCTCTCCCCCCCTCCCCCTCATACAGCATTTTGTCATAGGCACCCCCCCCCCCCCCTCCCCCCCCCCTCCCCCTGGAAACAAAATCCTGACTACGTGCCTGGTTTAGACCTAAATAAAAGATAACCCTAAGCTGTGTGTTTCACTACAAGTTTAAATACTCCGATGTA